CAAGCCCCAGCCCAGTAACATTTTTATTCAACTATTGTGTTCTGGTACCCTCTATCCAAAATATGGCATGACCCTGCTCAATTTCAGGTCACCTACCAAACCGGTGTGGATCTCTATGCTATGTCAAGCAACATGGAAATTACACAAATTCACTATACCTGTAGTACTGGTGCGCAATCGTCAGCAGACTTGGCGCAAGCTTGTACAAATAGTGACAAACACTGGGTATAGGAAGCAAACAAACACACACACACACACACACACACACACACAAACATAAATGCACACACACAAACATGGACACACACGCACATATGGACACACACACACACACCTATGGACACACACATACATACATGCATGGACACACACACACACATGGATACACACCCACACACAAGCATGCACACACGCACGCACTCACACACGGACGCACGCACACACATACACACACACGCACGTACGTGCGCACGCACGCACACACACACACACACACACGTACCCGCACACACACACGTACACATGGACACTGAGAGACAGTGGTGATCCCACCCAGGGACAATGGTCATCCCACTCAGGGACAGTGGTCATCCCACCCAGGGACAGTGGTCATCCCACCCAGGGGCAATGGTCATCCCACTCAGGGACAGTGGTCATCCCACCCAGGGACAGTGGTCATCTCACCCAGGGACAGTGGTCATCTCACCCAGGGACAGTGGTCCTCCCACCCAGGGACAGTGGTCATCTCACCCAGGGACAGTGGTCCTCCCACCCAGGGACAGTGGTCATCCCACCCATGGACAGTGGTCATCTCATCCAGGGACAGTGGTCATCTCACCCAGGGCACAGATATACACATACACATACATGTGTGTGAGCGCGAGCATACACACACACACACACACACACACACACACACACACAAACATAAACGCACACACACACAAACATGGACACACACACGCACACATGGACGCACACACACACACCTATGGACACACACATACATACATGCATGGACACACACACACACATGGATACACACCCACACACAAGCATGCACACACGCACGCACTCACACACGCACACACATACACACACACACGTACACGCGCGCACGCACGCACACACACACACAAACACACACGTACGCGCACGCACACACATACACATGGACACTGAGAGACAGTGGTGATCCCACCCAGGGGCAATGGTCATCCCACTCAGGGACAGTGGTCATCTCACCCAGGGACAGTGGTCATCCCACCCAGGGGCAATGGTCATCCCACTCAGGGACAGTGGTCATCCCACTCAGGGGCAGTGGTCCTCCCACCCAGGGACAGTGGTCATCCCACCCAAGGACAATCCCACCCATGGACAGTGGTCATCCCACCCAAGGACAATCCCACCGAGAGACAGTGGTCATTCCACCCTGGGATATTGGTAAGGGTAATCCCACCCAGGGACAATGGTCATTCCACCGAGAGACAGTGGTAATCCCACCCAGAGGCAGTGATGATCCCATTCAGGGGCAGTCGCGAACCCACCCAGAGACAGGGGTGATCCCACCCAGGGGCAGTGGTCATCTCACCCAGGGGCAGTGTTCATCCCACCCAGGGATAGTGGTCATCCCACCTAGGGAAATTGGTCCCAACCAGTGCAAACCCTGCTACCTTATCAACTGGAACATTGCCGTCTGTAACCTTCCACTGATATCTGCAAAAGAACAGCAAACGCTCTGGAAAAACCAAAGTACAGTCGCCCCTCTCTAATCCGGCACCTTTTGCTACGGCGTTTTCTGCTGGATTAACGAGGTGCTGGATTAAGAAATCCTGCCCTCTGACCCGGCCCTACCCAATTGCATGCATGTATCATACGTCAAAACGCAGGGTTTTTCCGTGTCTACCCAAGTATTTGGTGCACGGCTTTATATTCTCAACTGTTCTCCAGGAATATACACAGTGATAAAGTAAAACAGAGAACATGTTCACATGTACTCTTGCACACACACACGCACACACACACACCTGAAAATTGGCAGCACACTACTCCTTGCTGTCAGCGAATTGTGAAAATATAGCAGTCAGGTCTGCAGCAGTGATTGTGGCACCGCAACTCCAGTCAACTGAACTGAAGTGGCCCCGCGCGCGCGCGCGCGCGGCACTGACCAGACTGGCCTAGCCTGGCCTGGCAAGGAGTGTACCTGTACGGTACGCGATTTACGACCGCCGGATTATGAAATCAAACTACGTGCAGTTTGAGCGATTCGTTTCAAAAAGTCCCAGCCGGAGGCGGAATTCAAGTGCCGGATTAAGATGTAGGAATCGAACGAAAAAAATCGGTTTCGTCAGAAAGTGCGCCGGTTGGCAAGGGTTCCGGATAAACAAGTGCCGGATTAGAGAGGGACGCCTGTAACTATAAAAGCGCTGCTGTCTTACCTGTTGCGTTGTTGTCTTATAGAGTATCATGTAGTGGACTAGACGCTTCACAAAATGCAGTCTACCCTTCTTTGCCGCAATGTCCAATGGAGTGTGGCCATTCTGGAACAGGGAACATGTCAAAAAATAGACACCAAAAAAATGGAACTGGATTCTTTTGTACTAAATATTGCGACAGAGCTTTCGGCCATATTTTCAATTCATTGCATTCCCAACTCATCACAACCACGCACTCTTCAGCCGAACCATACAGACACAGCAAGGACACTTCCGTTGAGAGATAATATTGCTCCACGCCTCTAGACAGCTGTTTCGCTCCCTGTCGGAGCTCATCAGTAGAGGATGATAATGATGATAATGGAGGAATGATCATTCTTATACACCAGAAATGGCGCAAGTGCGCGCTTTCCACATAATTATATCAATGGCATATGCAAGCTGCTAAAATGGTAAAGTATGAGAACAGCGATAAATAATCATAGTACTCGCTCATTGGTGGAGAAACACACCACACAGGCGACGAAAATCTTACGCGGAATACTGATGCCAATGGAAAGTACATGTATTCACTGGGGCCTCCCGCTGTCGATCCTGTAGACGGGCGGACAGGTCGGTGTGAATCCTGTACGGCAACCGAGCCTGTCGCGTTGGGGGATCTTGGCGGTGAGTCTCGCCTCACCTGCATACATGGACATTGCAACATCATAATAATAAACAACAATAAATGTAAAAGAGAAGAGAACACACAAGAACGAGTTATGCAGCAAGTATCCTCTCGACTATCCTCTCACGCTCTCTCTCTCTCTCTCTCTCTCTCTATCTATCTCTCTCTCTCTCTTCTTCTTCTTCTTCTCTCTGTGTGTCTCTCTGTGTGTCTCTCTCCCTCCTTCCATCCCTCCCTCCCTGTCCCTCCCTCCCTCTCTCTCCCTCCCTCCCTCCCTCCCTCCCTCTCTCTCTCTCTCTCTCTCTCTCTCTCTCTCTCTCTCTCTCTCTCTCTCTCTCTCTCTCTTTCTCTCTTTCTCTCTCTCTCTCTCTCTCTCTTCTCTCTCTCTCTCTCTCTCTCTCTCTCTCTCTCTCTCTCTCTCTCTCTCTCTCTCTGTCTCTCTGTCTCTCTCTCTCTCTCTCTCTCTCTCTCTTTGTCTCTCTCTCTCTGTCTCTCTCTGTCTCTCCTTGTCTCTCTGTCTCTCTGTCTCTCTCTCTCTCTGCCTCTCTCTCTCTCTCTCTGTCTCTCTCTCTCTCTCTCTCTCTCTCTCTCTCTCTCTCTCTCTCTCTCTCTCTCTCTCTCTCTCTCTCTCTCTCTCTCTCTCTCTCTCTCTCTCTCTACCTCCCTCCCTCCCTCCCTTGTAATTGTAATTTGGCTATTTTCAAGACCATCATTCGTGGCGTCAAGGGATGATTGCCCTGGTCTTCTGGGATGCTGGCGTGGCTAAGCGGTGCTGCCCCAAGAACTCTTCTAAGATGAGGTAATGGTGGCTTGATGGAGTTTTGTTCGTAGCTTATTCTTGTACGCTGTGCCGCAGCTCGTTTGTAGGCCCATAAATCGTGTCAATATTGGGCCAATATTGAGGGATATGCAAATTTCATGGTTCCCTTGAAAAGATTTTGCGCGGGCTTTGGAATGTCGATCTACACCCCAAAGCAAACCTACCTGCAACATTTGAGCGAAATCAGTGAGATCGAATTGCACAAATGTTCTGTTTTTCTCAGACATGCTCTCCTAATACTTCATGAGATGCAACTCACCTCGTCACATTGGTTTGGTTTGGCTTTGCTGTCCAGTAGATGCAGAATACAATCGACACAACCCTGCTCACTGGCATAGTGAAGTGGTGTCTCTCCCCGCTATAACACAAGTGAATGTTCAGCAAGTAACCAACAAAGAACATGGCTCACTATGAGAAATGATAGTACACATTGTATACCACATGTTCGTATGTGGAGGATACAATATGAAGCAGGGCAAGTGACAGTTTTGAGCCTGTTGATTCCAGAAGACTTCCAAAGTCATCACCAAATGTGCTCTCCCACTCATTCACACAACAAGCAATATGACACTCGGAGTTAGCACACATACTGATTTCTTCACATAACAGTTTTCAAAATGGGGAATAATCATTGTGAAAAAAGCTCCTCGCCCAGCACATTGAGCACTTTCCCAGCAGTTTACCAGCATAGTCTTTGATTTCTTCATACAGTTAGTTTTCAGGAAATGCATTAGCAGAGTATATTGACATTATTTTAAATTTGAAATGTCTGTTCCATAACCTGCCTCATCTCCTTGATCTGGGTTAGCTCCAGCTTGCAGTAGATGCAGAACGCAGTCGGCCTTGTTCTCAATAGTGGCATAGTGAAGTGGTGTCCGTTTATCCTGTAGTACAGCAATATGTACAAGCAGTGATAAACAAAAGAAAACTTCTTCTGACTTGCATAACTCAGGGAAAACTGGTGTATCACCCTGATGGTGTGATTACTGCAGTATATTTTACTAATCAGACAGAGAAGTTCTCAGTCACATGTACTTGTGTGCCCACAATACTGTCTGTACATGACATAGTCTCTACACTACCTATCACAATAATCGTAGAACTGAATGTTCATCAATTTACATTATCGGAAAGGTTTGGATTGGCTTTGCTGTCCAGTAGATGCCGCATACAGTCGATATGACCCTCGCCACTGACATAGTGAAGTGATGCCCTTCCCCACTATAATACAAGTTAATGTTCAGCAACTTAACAACAAAGAACATGGTTACTTGTGTGTCCACTATATTACATGTCACGATTACATAGTCTACACACTATACCCGAGAGACCTCTTTTGGGTAGTGGTGTATAACTGTGTAAACCATGAAGTTGCTACAGAGGAGTCTGAACACCCTGAGGAAGGTGTATATACACTACCTATCACAATAATGGTCAAGTACATGTTTTTAACCTACATTATCGTTAGAGGTTTGGATCAGCAAAAATGAACTAGTTCATCTCATAGCTCCCCTTCACATCCCAGTATTCCTGTGGAGAATTGTGCAGTGGTGGAGACCATTGCAGCACAGGGGAGCAATTATTTCACGGTGTTGCTTGTTAATGCTTCAGGAGATGCAACTTACGTTGTCCTGTTGGTTTGGATTGGCTTTGCTGCCCAGTAGATGCCGCATGCAGCCGGTACGTCCCCGCTCACTGGCATAGTGAAGTGGTGTCTCTCCCCGCTATAACACAAGTGTATGTTCAGCAAGTAACCAACAAAGAACATGGCTCACTATGAGAAATGATAGTACACATTGTATACCACATGTTCGTATGTGGAGGATACAATATGAAGCAGGGCAAGTGACAGTTTTGAGCCTGTTGATTCCAGAAGACTTCCAAAGTCATCACCAAATGTGCTCTCCCACTCATTCACACAACAAGCAATATGACACTCGGAGTTAGCACACATACTGATTTCTTCACATAACAGTTTTCAAAATGGGGAATAATCATTGTGAAAAAAGCTCCTCGCCCAGCACATTGAGCACTTTCCCAGCAGTTTACCAGCATAGTCTTTGATTTCTTCATACAGTTAGTTTTCAGGAAATGCATTAGCAGAGTATATTGACATTATTTTAAATTTGAAATGTCTGTTCCATAACCTGCCTCATCTCCTTGATCTGGGTTAGCTCCAGCTTGCAGTAGATGCAGAACGCAGTCGGCCTTGTTCTCAATAGTGGCATAGTGAAGTGGTGTCCGTTTATCCTGTAGTACAGCAATATGTACAAGCAGTGATAAACAAAAGAAAACTTCTTCTGACTTGCATAACTCAGGGAAAAACTGGTGTATCACCCTGATGGTGTGATTACTGCAGTATATTTTACTAATCAGACAGAGAAGTTCTCAGTCACATGTACTTGTGTGCCCACAATACTGTCTGTACATGACATAGTCTCTACACTATCTATCACAATAATCGTAGAACTGAATGTTCATAAATTTACATTATCGGAAAGGTTTGGATTGGCTTTGCTGTCCAGTAGATGCCGCATACAGTCGATATGACCCTCGCCACTGACATAGTGAAGTGAAGCCCTTCCCCACTATGATACAAGTTAATGTTCAGCAACTTAAAACAACAAAGAACATGGTTACTTGTGTGTCCACTATATTACATGTCACGATTACATAGTCTACACACTATACCCGAGAGACCTCTTTTGGGTAGTGGTGTATAACTGTGTAAACCATGAAGTTGCTACAGAGGAGTCTGAACACCCTGAGGAAGGTGTATATACACTACCTATCACAATAATGGTCAAGCACATGTTTTTAACCTACATTATCGTTAGAGGTTTGGATCAGCAAAAATGAACTAGTTCATCTCATAGCTCCCCTTCACATCCCTGTATTCCTGTGGAGAATTGTGCAGTGGTGAAGACCATTGCAGCACAGGGGAGCAATTATTTCACGGTTTTGCTTGTTAAAGGGGAAGTATACCCTAAAATCAAATTTTCACCAGTTGTAGTCTTCGGGGTGCTGAGTCGAATGGTCTTGGTCCGAGGAAGCTGCGACGCTCCCTTCCTACTTGAATTCCAATCGAACTCGCGCACTTCCACCGAAACTGGGTGACTGCGCCCTACTAGATGGGGATTTGTATGCAAAATGTCACTAAAAGCGCCATTTCGTTCTTATAAAAGCACGGATGACCGCGATTGGCCCATATGTTGTAGTCTTTTGGACGCTGAGTCGACTGGTTTTGGTCCGAAAAGGCTGCGATGCAGCGTTCCTCCTTTATTCCCAATCGAACATGGTTGAAGAAGCGGTCACGTGGTCCTTGTTGCCCAAATCACCTGGTCACCGCGCCAGCAGGCGACAACTTTCACACCAAGGTTCAACTCGAGTGACAGGACTGCACCCAAAAAAGGTCAAACAGGCTAGTAAGTTGTACCCTGCAGGCACGGTGACCAGGTGACTGGTGTACGCAGGAGCACGTGACCGCTTGTTCAACCATGTTCGATTGGGAATAAAGGAGGAACGCTGCATTGCAGCCTTTTCGGACCAAAACCAGTCGACTCAGCGTCCAAAAGACTACAACATATGGGCCAACCGCGGTCATCCGTGCTTTTATAAGAACGAAATGGCGCTTTTAGTGACATTTTGCATACAAATCCCCATCTAGTAGGGCGCAGTCACCCAGTTTCGGTGGAAGTGCGCGAGTTCGATTGGGATTCAAGTAGGAAGGGAGCGTCTCAGCTTCCTCGGACCAAGACCATTCGACTCAGCACCCCGAAGACTACAACTGGTGAAAATTTGATTTTAGGGTATACTTCCCCTTTAATGCTTCAGGAGATGCAACTTACGTTGTCCGGTTGGTTTGGATTGGCTTTGCTGTCCAGTAGATGCCGCATGCAGCCGGTACGTCCCCGCTCACTGGCATAGTGAAGTGGTGTCTTTCCCAACTACAACACAAGTGAATGTTCAACAAGTAGCCAACAAAGAACATGGCTCACTATGAGAGATGATTGTACGCATTGAATGCCACATGTTCATCCCTTGATTATACTCATAAAACTATAGTATTGTCCTATGAAAGTGTCTTAGAAAAGGACCGTTTATCCAGAGCAGCTAACACGTCATATACTGTCTTTTTGCTGCTTTCTGAGTAGATCTATCTGTCAAGTGGCTGTTAACTTTATCATCGTTTCTCCTATCGCAAAAGCGATCACACCATTGGAAAGCTTGGAGCTTCCTCTTCGATCTACATATTTCGATTTTCCCAACAGGACTAACAACAATGGAGTTACGACAGTTTTACGGCAAGCAAAAAGATATCAGTCCATATGGACTGATGCACCGCAAAGGGTTAAGAAACTCGCAGGCTCGCAGGCTGGCCAGCAAGAACCTTGGAGGAACTGAGCTGTGAATGGAGCTGTAACCGACTAACACATTATCCCCGTACCTGCAGGCATGTAGTGTGATGCATGTCATAAGAGGCATAACAAGCCCATATAATATTGATAATAATACACACAGCTCGCATCTTCCCTGAACCTGTTAGACAGGAGCAGAGTCGAAGCACCTGTCAACAGTGTCAAGCCAAGTAAATCTATCTCCTGCAGTTTGGAGAGCGCTCTCCATGGAGACATCTTCTGCCTTCAGGTCGTGTTGAATCGTATTTATCCACCGCACCCATATTCCAAACAATAAGTATCACTCTGAGCCTATTGGCATAACAGATGTCTCACGCTTGTGAGACCAACCCTGCTTACGAATTATACTGGACACTAATGATTTATTCCCGTAGCTATGCAAAAGACGTTAATAACGTCTGGCACTAGCTAGGGTCCACACAGCTTTAATTCCGTCATTGTTTGTTGTGTCGTCGGGCATGCCTGGCGCTATCCCTTACGTGTCCCGTACCGTACCATCATGCACATTCAGATACACGTGTTCACACAGGAACCATGCCAACCAAATGTCTATGATAAAACTGGTTTCCTCACCCGATCAGTTACGTTGGGATCAGCACCGGCATCGAGCAAATACTGTACACAATTAACGGAGCCTTGATTGCCAGCTGCATGAAGAGCGCTACCGTAGGTGATCTGCAGGTAAAGTACCAAAAAGTGGAAATACAACATACAGAGCAGATACTGAAAGTGATGATATTAGAAGGCAATTCTAATGACTTTTGAGACGATGTGGGTCCCTAGTTGGTATTGGTATTGGTATTGGTATTGATTTATTTGAATTCGGTATCTCAACAGTACATTGTACAACTTGGGAAGATCCGAATGACATAGATACATAAACATAAAAGTGGAGTAGGTACTACAGCTGATCATTTTAATTCAGGTTGTGGGACTAAACTAATACCAGTATGCAAGTACACAAGAAATAAAAGCTGAATGAATATGACTGCATGACATTGGAGAAAAGCACCAATTAGAGCAGCCGGAGTGGTGGTTCTTTGCAGTACCGTAGTCTGTCATACTGGCCACTGGATAATGTGGATATGATGCACACACCTGGTACTATTTTCCCTGTCATGAAGATTACAGGTGATTCATCGAACGCCCTACTTGAAGTATAATTTTAACAGTGAACACCTACAAATATTGCGGAAAAGTTGTATCCAACCTAACTGCAGCTAAAATTGGAACCTGGTGGGAAAGACCTCATTCTCAATCAGGCGCTGCACTTAATGTGTTTTTGGTGTCCGGAAACCACTTTTTTGGCTAATCTTGAAAAACAAAAGGTGTGTGCACTCAACCAACCACAGGCAGTTTATGCAACAGTGGCTATATCCTTATTTTGAAGTGAGAGAAAGAGAGAGTTACTTTACATTCAGCTCAATCTTCTCTCCTTCTTCAGTGGAGAGTAGCTACAGAGATTGATATCTGGTCCGCTCCTGGCAGTGACGTTCAAGAAGTCTGCTTTCTCTCGAAACTTGAGTCAAGCACGCACAATGCACATTGAGCAGGCCCGTCGCACCAACTTAGGAGGTGGGGCGGCCATGGAAGGGGATCCGGGTCCCTCCCCGTAAATTTTCAAAAATTGAAGCAAATTGCAAGCCGCATGATTTCCGGGCATTTGGTACCATTTCAGTGGAACTGCAACGAAAGACTTTTTGATTCTGCAACAAACCAAGAAGACGCTGCAATCGGGAACAAGGATTCTTTATTACCCTCCCCTCGGGAAAAAATTTCAAAAAGTTGAAACCAATTGCAAGCATTTCCAAGCATTTGGTGCCATTTCAGTGTAACTGCAATGAAAATTGTTTGATTCTGCAACAAACCACGATCGGGGACAAAGATTATTTGCGCTGGGCTGCGATCACGCGCTTTGCTGCAGTGTGCTCAAAACAAAAACAAACAAAAAACGGCCGAAAAAGTGGGGCGGCCTCATGGGACGGCCTCAGCCGCCCCAGCCGCCCCAGCTGTGATGGCCTTGTTGAGTTGATGGACAAGCCAGAGAGCACATTTGCAACCTTGCTTCTTATTACATCACTCCCTTGAGGTTCACGGTAAACCTTACGTATAAGAAACCATTAGCAAGCCGTGAAACGGCAATGAGAAGGGGGAGCTGGGTTAGAGTCCCGTCCTGAACACGCGAAACATACTCGTGTTTGATGAGTTCGGAGGGGTCTACTCGTCATGACCGCAACGAGTGGGTTTTAGTTAATTATGTGCAATTTCATCCATGATACGGAGAATAGCACCGTAGATCACGCCTCTTTTTTGTCCTTATGATTTTTCTCAAATTTTGAACATGTCTCACCCATTCCTCTCTATTATTATTATTTATTATTATTTTGCTTGTTCGCGTTGGCATCAACCTGCATAAAGCAGGTATATAGCCTTCGCTTGAGCTGCCATAAAAAAAGAAAGCTCATCCTAAGCGAGAGGGCTAGAGGAAAAGATAACGATAACGAGATACAGAATACAAAGAAATCCAATGAGTTAAACATACGTATACAGTTAAAAACAAAACAGAGCAGAGCCGAAGTTACTAATCGGAGTTACGAATGCATTGGTTCCGATTGATCCATCAATCGACAAAGGGGACTAATCCGTTAATATTGCAAAGTAGAAACCGATTGCAGTTGCAGATCTCCAGGCCAGGGCCAGCATATTGCCGATTCTGGATAGATCTCTGCAGCATTTGATGTGGTAATTATTATCATAATTAGTGATAAAATTGTTAGAGTATCTAGTATCTAGAGTATCTAGTGTAATTGTATCCGATATTATTGTTAGAGTATCTAGTGTAATTGTATAACTTTCTGCCACTACACACAGCACACATTAGTTCCTTCCACTTTCGACGATCCTGGGCGAGCTGCCTCAGTGCAACTAGATCCTCGTGTGATGTGAGGGAGTTTGTGGATCTGGAATTTTTTAGGTCGTTGTTGATAGTTCGCGGGAGGGTTGTTCATTATTTGCCTACTGCTCAGAAACGCAATTTTTTTCAAATATTCTCAATTGACTGGCTCCATTGTAAAGTCTTTCAGAGAATGTTTTGGCATGGACCTCGTGAAAACAACCCTTTGGTGCACCCATCCATCGGCGATGTGGCTATCATGGGGTTTCTTACCCAATCGGGTAAAAGTCAGTCAGGCTGAGGATTGTTCTCAAGAAAAAGTTTGCAAAAATCACTGCCAGTAAAAATATCAGAAAACTGCTTAAAACTGCAAAGCAGCCGACTCGTGCAGACGGGTTGTGAACGCGAGAAGCTAATCCTAAATCACGTGCGTTCCGATGACCTTGTTCCTGTTGACGTTTCACGGCATGCTAATGGTCCCTATACTCTCCGGCATCCAAACATCCTTAGGTGTGGCCTGGGCCCTCCTGGCCAGGGCTAGGGCCCAACTGCGGCCGGTACAAAGCCGTTTTTTTAAGAATGCTCTGGTATTAAACGTTATATCGGTGCCATCGTTCAAGTCACGCCATGCTAACCATATAACAACAACGAGACACAAAAATATTCCCACAGCACGAAATTGTCCAGGCACATCCGGAACCTAAATAAATAGAACACCCAGTACGAAGTCCATTGCAGGGTTAAATATGGTGCCCGGGCGTATATCAACATCACCTAGCGATGTTCTCTCTGCACTAGAGAAAAGTACATACTCAGTCAACACGATAAATCAACATCTAGTCTCAACCAGTGCTCGGAACTCATGTCCAAATGCTGGCATGAGAACACATATTTCCTCAGCCTCGACAATGTCACATAACTGTCCCCACCTCGACAGCCTCCTGACTACACCAGCCACACACCCTGCGCCGATTTAACCATGAGTGCTAGGCTTTAAACAAACACAACCGACACAGGGCATGCACAGTTTTTTCTTCTTGTTTGATACTCATCCTGCTTCTCTCTCTTTCCTCTCCTTTGGTTCCTTATCAGGAACATTATGCTGACCTTTCAAACAAACTTCCAGTCAACTGCCCCATCATGCAGGTGGTTTATATTGGGCATATAAACCCCATATATACCCTATAAAAACCTCATATACCACCACAATATACACCCCTTTTTTAGAGATTGGAGGAAACTAGCTTCAAAGTGTTATCAAATCACCTAGGCAGAAGGGGGTGGGAGAGAACGCTTACGCTTCAACGTATTGCGAGCGACAGCAGCACGCTCTGTGTGAATATTGAAAACAATGAAGCTGCCATTGAAAGTGGTGGAAGCAGCATTTAGATAAGGCGAAACAGCAGAAGAAGTACACTGAACAGCAGAGGAAACAGAACTCTGAGCAGTAGAAGAACAGCTCTGAACAGGGGTGGGTGTAACAGGCTGCCCAGAATGGTTTGACATGTCAGCAAGAGGCGGTCGCAAATCAATAGCTTCAGTCATGGAACAGGAATCTTTCAAGGTGGGCCTATCATAAGCAGTAAGACATTCAACATTTCGATGCCCAGAAACGGAACAAATTCGCCTATCATCTACTCCACGTTTCTTCTACGGTTGGTAATAGATGTTGCTCTTACACACTGATTTGTATAAAACATGGACAAATTAGCATCTGCAGACAAACGCTTCATCATACCAGATAAAATATTGTGCGAGAGAGGCATTTTCATGAACCAGCAGTTGGCAGAATCGGCCATCTCACTTGATAGCGCTCGCTGGAACAAGCTGTTTTCGTCGTAATGTAGCCTTGACAGATAGCGCTTGATTGCCGACAGCTGAAACTCATCACGGATAACACCAGCAAAAGACCCGCCAGAGCCTTGAAGTCGGCATTGGTGGTTTCGGAAACAAATGAAGCTGCGATCCGCAAGACTTCCTGGCCATCAATGGTCGTGAATTGGAGATCGTCCTTCTTCAGCTTTGCTAGCATTTCTCCACTCCTCAAACAGAAGTGGATGGTTAGCTGGAACCACACGAAGTACGTCAGCTTGCCCATAACCATTGTCTCCAGTACATTGAAGAAGTATTCTCTTAGAAGAGCCTAGTCTTTTTCGCATAGAGGTTGCTTGTGTTGATCTGCAGGCTCGTGAACGTCGCGTTTGCATGCTTTCAACACTCCGCCCAGGACTTTGTTCGCCCTTGAGAAAGCACTGTCGTTGTAGATGTTGATCTGCATCGAGAATGATGATATGTGACGCTGAAGAGCACCACGTGCAGATTGAAGACTGTTTTTTTGCACACCCAGAACCATCCTTCTTCTTTGCATTCGCGTAGAAGGACGAGAGAACATCACAAAGTCTTTCACATGTGACTGTTTTGAAATCAACGACACCTAAAAGCTCGTCACCCCTCAAACAAAACTCATCAAACAATCGCAGCCAGTACTGAGTAGGCACGCGAGTGTACTTTGGAACACCCTCAGCTATTGGCTTGGTCTGGTCATCGTAGCTGATAGACCCGAAAACACGCTTTTGAGGAGCTGGTCACTCATTGTTCTAGAAAACGAGAAGCACGAAGACACTAACCGAACCCAGGAGAGACACAGAAGGAATGAGTACTTAGCAGCTAGTGTGGCCAGTTTTACTTTCTTTTTTGGCCCCCAGGCAAACCGGATTTCGACTACTTTCGGAGGTGAAGCTCTGCAGACCTCCACTGCGCAGACTCGAAACTCGCTCATATTTTTCAAAGGTGCAACGGAGAGTCCAATGTGAGCTCCTACTTGGAATGCGCTTTTCGCACTGTTTCTTGCTGGAAGCAGAAGGAGTTGACTATCAGTTTGTACGAAGGTCAGCATAAGTATACTACATCGCACTAGTATGCTTGTACGTGAAATATAAACCATCATGCAAACCTCGGCTGCGCCGTTTGTATATCGGTTTATATTTCACGTACAAGCCTACTGTTGGGATGTATTATATACTTATTTGTCGCCCGTACAAGTGGCCCTGCCATAGGTTTTTTGAAGGTTATCAGTGTTCTTCTAAACCATGGTCCATTACACTTACACTGACAGTACACTTACAGTTGATCCCGTAGGAAGAGGGTAACTGTAATGCCCTTCATGGTTCACCAAGTACTTGTCAACAGTGCTTGCCAAGAACTTGACAACAGAAGTAGCATTGTGGCTGCAGGCATCCTTCAGAAACCTTGCCTGCAAGAAAACATAACACAGCACAGTAGAACAGAGTGCACTAAAGTTAATAACAAACAACAGGGCAGAGAGCACAAAACAACTAGACTTTTCAGTACTAAAGACGAGAATATCTCGCCATGAAATAATTCGGCATGCCAACTAGCAAAATTGATACAAGAAACTAACTCTCCTCCTCCATGCGCTCTAAAGCCGACCATTGCTACCCTCGGTAGCCATTACTCACACCAATAACTTCAAACGACGAAGGGGTCACGGGTAAAACATTTCCTTCTGACAGCTGTTTCGCCTATCAAAGGCTCGTCAGAGAAGGTGATACTGATATTGTAATTCACATGGCATACTGTGTAAATATTATGGGCGCAAGAAAGAAACTAGGCAAGGTGTAACACTGAGAAGTTCCAAGAATATTCTCAAAGCCCTTGGTTCTAGGAAAATAGCAGGTGAGACACTGTATTCGTCCAATCACAAGCTGCCAACATTTTGCGAGGCACGATAATGCAGCACAGATACAGACTACGAGCGTGCAAATTCGTAACTGATCATGGAAAAGAAAAGAGTTTTGGCAAGCAACAAAACAAGAATATTAATATAATGATTATTATTCCCCGAAGAGGACCTGCTTGGGGAGACGGCAGGAATCCACCCTGGTAATGTGACCAAGCCATGGCAGACGATGGCACCGCAGAAGCTCACCGATGTCTGCTGGGAGTCTGACTCGCTTTGCAATCTCCTCGCTGGTGAGCCTGTCCTGCCACTGTGTCGAGCGGGATACACCAAGGATGGCACGACTGCACTCGTGATGGTCTTCAGTGCCCAGGTCTCGGCACCGTAAAACAGAGTGCTGAGCACACTGGCCGTATACACAAGTCTCTTCGTGCATATAGATAGGGGCTTGTATTGGAAAATGGGCACCTGCAAGGAGCCAAAAACACGTGACGCCCTAGCCAGCCGCACTGCTACCTCGCCATGCAGGGAACCGTTATCAACCAGAGAACCACCGAGGTAGGTAAAACTGGCCACCTGATCAATCACATCACGAGACTCCAGATGTATGCCACACTGAGCAGAGTCATCACCCACGGCCATCACCTTCGTCTTGGAAGTGCTCATGGTCAAGCCCCAACGCACAGTGCAGCTAAGAAACTCCCTCGCCATGATGTCCACCCCACACCGAGACAGTCGCTAAAGCGCTGCATCATTTGCAAACTGCGACTCCGTTATCTCAATCTCCAGCAGTTTGATTTGGCTAACGGATCGCCAACAAGCTTCCGTCTGATGCGGTAGCGCAGACTTACGCTGGGCACAGTCGATCTGGAATGCCACGAGGCAACCATCGTGGCTAAGTAGATATTGAACAGAGTAGCCCCAGCCCCAGGCAGCATATTATCAAGAGTACATAACCAAGAGTGTGCAACTGCCTGCACAACCTCTATGCTGTGCTGCGACGGCAGAACTTCACATCACGTGACATGGTTCAAAAGGTTATGCTGGCAAACAGTGCAAAGTGACCACAAGAGAGTTGTACCCAAAGCTGGGCTGCGTACAACCCAGTATCTATCATGCACTAGAGTGCACGGGTTCATCACGTGATGTGAAGTTCTGCCGTCGCAGACCCCATAGCTGGAGTTGCACACTCTTGTTTATCTACTCTTGATATTATGCATATGTCTCGGGCTTTCCTATGCCGCGTTCAGTGTATTTCTCCGTCCCAGTTCCAGCCACTGGAGGATGTGATAAGCACGAAGCTTATACCAGCAATGACGGGTCGGCCACCGCCTGGCACAGTGTTGAGGGCAGTACTTGCAATGCCCTGTCGTTTGGGTGGCCTGGGCCTGGTCAGCCCGATGTCTTTGTGCTCCCAGTATGAGTCGTCTGTCGCTATCACAGCATCTCTCTCCCGGCGTATCGTGGATCGTGTTTATGACATTGGGAATTCTCTGATTGGCATCCATCGGGAGAAGGCGAAGAGAAAGAAGGAAGTGTGTCACAGCCAGGCGGAGTCGGCACAGCGTATCAGCAATGATGCGTCGGACGCCTTGCGACACACCATTATCCTCGCCAGTGAACCTGGCGCCTCGAGTTGGCTGACTTGCCGTCCATTGAAAAAGTATGGCTTTTCACTGAGCAAAGCTGAGTTCATGGACAGCTTGTGCCTCCGTTATGGTTGGATGCTGCCGAGGTTACCAACTCATTGCTCTTGTGGACGGGACAATGGTATTGACCATGCCTTGTCATGTCCCCTTGGTGGTTTTACCATTATCCGCCATAATGAGATCCGGGATGTGACAGCCTCTCTCCTTCAAGAGACCTGTCACAATGTCTCCATCGAGCCAATGCTGCAGCCACTCACTGGAGAGAGAATAAGATACAGGTCTGCTATTGTGGAGGAGCATGCGCGGCTTGATGTAGCGGTCAGTGGTTTGTGGGGCAGTCGTTTTGAGCGTACTTTACTTGATACACGGGGTTTTAATCCTCATGCATGCTCAAATCGATCTGCAACACACACCACTGTCTATCGGCGCCATGAAAAAGAAAAGCGACGATGCTATGAAGAGAGAGTGGGAGAGGTGGAGCATGCGACGTTCATGCCTGTTGTGCTGTCGGCAAGTGGTGGAATGGGAAGAGAGGCGACATCACTCTATCGCCGAATCGCGTTATTGAGAGCGGAAAGGAGGAAGGAGCAGTACTCCCACGTAATATCTTACATCAGATGCCGTCTCTCATTTGCCCTGTTGCGATCATGCATCATGTGTTTGCGGGGTTCCCGGGGTCTTTTCCGTGAGCGATCGGTTCGGCATCCGGAGTCTGCTGAGCTGGTTGTGGCTGAGGCCTAGGTTGCTCGCATGTGAGAATCTATAAATTGCAGCAGATTATTTTTATTATAAATACTGGACATGGATATTGAATAACTGCACTCAGTGACTCTTTTCATTTTACAGGCTTCGTTTTATTATTATTATTATTATTATTGTAAAGCTTTCCTTTTGATGTTGTCTCTTATTTATTTATTTATTTATTTATTTCTGCACCTCGTGGCATGTCAAGACAGCCAAATAAATTGAGGAGAGGGTGAGACCAACCACGGAAGAAGAGAAAAAAAAGAAAATGAAGAGTGACCTTTCCACAATATTGTGTTGCATTGTTAAAAATAATAATAATAATAAATAAAACAGAGTAGGTGCCAGGGTACAGCTCTGCCGGAGACCAATGGCCACAGAGATGGCATCTGTTAGCCCTCCAGCAACGCACACCCTGGCCTCTATACCGTCGTGGAGACTCTAGATTAAGCCGAGCATATTCTGTGGCACACCAACTCTCTCCAAGACCAGGCCACAACGCATGATGGGGGTCATTTTTGTCGACCTCAGAAAGGCGTACGCCAGCAACAGCGTGACTCCAGCAATCCCTGATACTGTCAGGGCTGGACGTTAAAATACGTTCTTGATTGTAAACCGCTGAAGTGGTAACCGGTTGTCTCCCAGAATGTAATCCATGCAGTTCCTGATGGATTCCCAGTGCGTGCAACCATCATTTTGCGCGTTCTCTGCGTCGGTAGCGACCTCCGCAATCCACCTCTCCTACGCCAGACAAACCTATGCGAGGAGCACGTTCGCAGGCATTCTCCAACCCTTACAAAACGACTCTCGGACGTCACCGCTCTGTAGCCTATGCACGGCATAGGGCTTCCTCCGCTTGTTGGACTGTGTCTTAGGCAAGACGAAATCGAGTACAAGTCTGGTGCAAACCAAGAAATGATCCGTCCAACACAGCACTCCGTACATGACACTTACATCCTGGTAGGGGTGAAGCGATTAGTTCAAATATTTCGAGTATTCGTTCGAAAATTCAAACGAGCAAGTACCGGTATTCGAAATTTTGCACATCGATCGTTTTTTTGTTTTTTGTTTAGTACAGTCGTGTATGGGCATTTTTTTTAAACTTCTGTTGTACCGCTCATCGACTGGTATGCATGCATTATGCATGCCTTTGAGTCCGTATTTTATGACTTGGACGATGCGGTCACCACGGCAAGTAACGTTAGTTTGTTATGAGATATGAAAGTACTGATGAAAATCGTCACTTTACACTCTGTACAAGACGTTAGCGACTTTTGTTCTATGTAACTGTTCACAGAATAATAATTTCTTCCGAAATGGTCGAGAACTCACAAATCTAGCGCTTGTGAATTTTGATAAAAAAATTAACTCGAAATAATCGGATACTCGATCGAATATTATGAATGAGTGATCGATTGGTCAAAATAGATACTTCAATACTTGTTTCACCCCTACATCCTGGCAATAACAACGCTGGCCAGAGCGCATCACGATGACTGCAATCTATTAAATGTTCGTTCCGAGTTGCTAGGTGTACCCAAGTTCCACGTATACGTTTCTTCTTCCTGAACCAAGTATTCATGATGGACAGATCATGGATAGCACAAAACGACAGCAAGTTTTCCCCAGCTTCATTGCAGGATCCAAAGCCATTCCGCCCACTCACATGACTCCAACCATCACCGTCGCCACGCATGTCATCGAAACGAGGCACATCACCAAACATCAGGTCGCATGATGAACCAACACGAACATTGAAATCCGCTAAGAGTAGCAGAATATCGCAAGGATCCACTGTGCTCATGACTGACTTGAGATCACTGAAGAATTGATCCTTGACTGCCGGCGTGGCCTTGCTTGTTGGAGCGTAGGGGCTGACGACTGTCACGAAGAAGTCGGACCGCCCCTTGAGATTGCTACCCTGTCGTATCTTGGAGCCCTTCGCTCCGACTAGAATCCGTGTAGTTACAATGCGCGAACTGATAGCTTTCCACTGCTCGCCGCTGCGCCGCCACAACTCGGTCGTCTTCGCATTCAACAATATTCCCACGCCTTCATTCCGTCAACTAGGCTCACCTTTGCCGGGCAACGCACGTCCAGAGTGGAAAAAGACGCCACCACCGCTGACAAGCCAAACTTAGTTGCCAAACCAGCACGTCTCCTGTACACCAGCCACATCGAAATTGAAATTGCGTAGTTCATTTGAAAGAATATCGAACGTCCTGTCGACAGGCCCATCACCGGCCGATGTACGTCCTCTATAAGTTCTAACGTCCTCACTATCCTCCACTAGAGAGCGAACATTCCACGTCGCAGCAGTCAGAATGTTCCCTTTCCCGACACTCTTTCTCTTCGCCACCATTTCGAAAATTCAAATTCAAAAATATCGCTTCGCTCGCTTTGTGCAGCGTGCCGTTCGAACTCCACCAGGCAACTTGCAAGGCTACCTAGTGGGCCACCACAGCCATGGCCTGGTCTACACCACACTGCTCATGGCTGCTTAGGGTGGCTACAACATCCTGAAGAAGGAGCTCACGAAAGCCAACCTTCCTCTCCACACTCAACAGCACAGCACACTCACGCGCACACACACACACACACACACACACACCTGCCCAGTCCTGTAGAGCCGCTATCACTAGGGTCAAGTGGGCCCCAGACGGGCAGCAAAGGGAGAAGGAGCACACCACCTGCTGGCACTGCAGATGCAAGACCAGTCGGAACTGACGAGAGCACATACATTATATGCCGGAACATATCCCGTCTTCTTGCTGTTGGACGATTGCAGAGCATTAAACACCAATAACGATTGCGTCTCTAGATTGCAAAGGTCACAGTGAACATTGCAGCAACTTTGAGGGGTAGTAGCAATGGTGGCAGCAGCAGATTATGCGATCGGCGCTGGCCATGGGGATAATAGTGGGGTAACAATGCACAGCCAAGAAACCACGGCTCCCGAACCAACGATGACACCGAGGTCACTGACATGCATATTTCTGATCTGAAACTAACTTGCTTCTGCCATTCAACCATGCATTTGTGCTTGGCAAGGTCGCCTGGAAAGGTCGCCCTGATACGCAAAGTGCCGAGAGCATGTGCTGCAAGTCACCGGTGCGGGTATGGGGAGATCTGGGGCGCCCAAGGTGTAAGCCAACCTCCAGTCTGGGCGAGAGTCACATGCCACCCTGTACCTGTCTGCTTCAAGGTCTCATGAGCGGAGGTAATTAAAAGCACAGTCATTCCGCCCGGAGGGGGGGGGGGGGGGGGATATATATCGGTAGGCGTAGGATCTTCAGGGGATGACGTGCGATGAGCTGTGAAAAGCATCAAACCGGCACTGGACACTACCTTTGCTCTGCGCCCGCGCCGCACCGGCTACTGCAGCTGCAGTGCCATAATAATATATATATATATATATACTGTATAGCAGTTGATGGTCGCTGCCGCATTCAGCACTCCTTATGACAGCCACTTCTGTACATAGATGGTGGTCGTCCTGCCGCACAAGTATGAAATCTTTGCAGTGCCACTACAGCGTGCCTGGGTGCTGCCAGGTCTGTTTGAGAATGTTCCGTTTAGGGAACCAGGTGTTGCATACACAATTGATTGAAAGCAGATAATGACAGTAGCTCAGCTCCTGATGTATTCATGTTGTTATACCTGTGAGTGACTCGCTCATCGCCCGGTTGACCTGAACCGACGCGTGCGTTGAAATCGCTCAGTACGATACAACAGTCTGATGGTGGAACGTCGTACAAAACACTTTGGAGATCATCACAGAATTTTTCTCTCACAGTGCGACAGCTGCGTAAGTGGGGGGGGGGGGGGGGGGGCGTAGGCACAGACTAGAGTGGAACTCTTAGGTGACCTATCAACGAGAGCGAACTGTAAGCGGCCCGATACAACACGAGAACTCACCGCCTTCCAGACGCAGCCACCAGCCCTCCAGGCGCCTAAAGCACAACGATCCAAAGCAATTGCGACTACGGCCAGAGCTGAGAATAGAGAAATTATCCACGACGTAGCTTTCCTGTCCAAACCAGTCGTATCCTGCTGCCGCCATATCATACCTCTGTAGTTCTGCCACAAAAAGATCATTTTTTTTCTTTTTTTTCTTTGTTTTCAACTACTCGCCCAGAAACGCTTCCCATCTCAATGGCTCCGTCTCCCTCCACCAGGGATCTGACGTTCCAGCATCCAAAATGCAACAGGTGGCGTCCCCTTCTCTCTCTCTTCTCTCTCTCTCTCTCTCTCTCTCTCTCTCTCTCTCTCTCTCTCCCTCTCTCTCTCTCTCTCTCTCTCTCCTCTCTTCAACAAATTTCATGGCGAGCGATGGAATCCACTCGGGGGGGGGGGGGGGGGGGGGGCTTGTCAAACCTCCGCGAGTGGTGATGAGGGCACAGTCAAAGGTGACAGCATCAAACGACGCCCCCGTCATTTAGCAGTGTCGGTCCCCATGTCGAAAGCACTTTGCTTTGGCCGGGAGAGAGCTTACTGAAAAGTCTTGGACAGACAAAAACTGGAGCTCGAAAAAGGCAAACCGTCCCCCACCAGTACAATGGACACACACACACACATGTGCACATGCATGCACACACACACACACACTCTCTCTCTCACACACACATACACGCGAGCACATAAACGCACGCACACACGCATGCACACACACATGCACACACACACACACACACACGCACACACAAACACACACACACACGCACACACTCACATGCACACAAACTCAGCCTGACACTCATGCGACAGCACTTGCCCATACAGACAGATTGTAGCACAATTCTAAGTTCAGCATACCAACAACGGGTCTCCATATCTAGTCTTTCGGAGTTTGATTTCTTTTTTGAGAACACCACCTTCAAGTATCTCGGCTTTAAAAGCCTCCACTTTATCCTCCCTAGCGTACCGAAGGATCTGAGAATCATTCACCGCTGCCATCACTGGAAGGCAATATCAAAAACAAACATACCCACCAAACACACCACGTCAGAATACCAGATCGTAATGAATAGGCTCTAATAGTGACCCTGAAATAGAAATAAGAATAACCAAGCCTCTAATATTGATTCGGATCAAAGGGGTACTAAGTAAACATAATAGAGAGGTTGCGCACAACGAAAATTCATAAGATCCTGACCGTCCGGGTTCGAGTAACGGAAGATGCCGCGAAGATTCGTCCAAAAGAGACCGAGACAGAGCAGATCTACGGAACTATTTTTCGTCACATGGAGTACTAAAATACTGATATTTTACAACTCCCTGTCTTGACTCTTTCCGCACCTGCTGCGCTAGCATCGACCTACTATGAAACAGTTCACACATTGTGCGCAACCTCACGGTTTTGAATAATTTTTTGTTACAGTGCCACGAATTTTCGTTGTGCGCATCCTCTCTAAAATCTAATAATAACCGAACCTGCAGTAGTGAACCGGATCAAGGGTTAGTAAAAATAATAGGGGTGAAACGGTTCGGGTAAGGAACCGGTTTTGGAACCGCCAGCTGAAAAGAATCGGGTACCCGTTCCGTCAAATTTCGAACCGAAACTCGAAAAATCTCGTTCTCGTACAAATACATGTACACGCCAAGTCTACTCAAGATTTTTAAATGTCTTACCTTATGATCACCGCCCTTCCAGGGGTTCTCCTATCGATCCTGGTCACTACGAGCGTACCTCCTTCGCACATGGATTCTTCGATGTCTCGTTCTTGCTCGTATAAATGGTTTCTAACTTGAAAATAATTGTCACGGACGCATTTGGTCGGTCTGGAGAAAAGAGTGCATGGAACCAATACCTGAACCGTGGGAAACTATGCTGGCATTCGGGTACCCGAACATGAAAAACATGGAACCGTTTCACCCCTAAAATATAATAATATCCAAGGATAGTGAACCGAGGCACGTGAAGAGCTTCTAGATTTAAAGGGGAAGGCTAAAATCAAAATGTCACTACAGTCCATTCATTCGAAACTGGCACCCTAACTTTTTGGTGTCTCTCTCACATAGTTGTAGATATCGTGAAAACAACAGTACATCCTGCATTGTGTGACCCGTGCAATTACTCCTTGCCACAGTTGAGGCCAGATAGGCCTTGACGGATTATGCTAGCATATTTTTTCGCATAATTTCTACCAAAATCGAATAATCGCATAATTCGAGGCAAATTGCATATGAATCGCATAAATTGGAATAATCCGCCTGTTCGCATCAAATTCCATACAGGTGTACATGTTCTACAAGTACAAGTACAAGTAGATGCACCAGGAAGTCGTAGGTTTACGACTCCCTTGATAACATGTCCAGTCCACTACAATCATTGACGGTCGTAGCTACATGTACATGTAGGTCGGACGGTGCGTTGACCCCGTTGAACTTTTGCTACTACAGTACAACGCCCTCTACAAAACAATTCCCCTGGTATTTTGCACAGAAGCATCATATACATCAGCAGCATATGTTAGCTTAATGCGGCATAATATGATAACTTTTAGCATAAAAATAGCATACATGTAATTCTGCAATTTTTTCAGCAATGCGAAAAGCATAATTTCACGAAAATATTAGCATAATCCGTCAAGGCCTAAGGCCAGAAAAGTCCAAGAACAGGGAAATATAAATTTAGCCAGGTTTTACAAAATTAGGACAGGTATGCCATGGCAAAATGTATGGAGAAGCAGATCCAAAACCCAGATTTTTGAGATTTAAAGTGGGTTTTTGATCCTCAATTCGGCCCAAATCCGACTTTCAAAAGCCAGCAGGCCCGTTTCCGATGAATGGACTGTACAGTCCATTCATAAAAAGATGGGCCCTGGGTCTGGCGAGCTCCCGTATTTGGCGATTTTTCGTGATTTCATCGTACACAGTGCTGCGAACTTTGAAATTTGAAAAAGGTTCCAGAAAGGGTCCCTGAACTGGGGTTCGAACCGCACAATGCACTGTTGCAGGCGGGGTCAAACGGCCTGGATTTTGATGGTTTTTCCCAATTCAGTGCTTTTGGGGCAAAACCTGGCCGAAATCCTATTCTTGCTATGGCTTGCTTTTTGGACAATAAAACTTCAGAAACATAATAGGAAGAGGATTCCATAGGGGATCGCAGAAAATAATTCTAAAAAAACTCAAAGTTTAACCCATTTATGGCCAAAAGCTAGAAGTCAATCTTTTTCTGAATGGACTATAGTTGTAGTCTTCGGGGTGCTGAGTCGAATGGTCGTGGTCCGTGGAAGCTGAGACGCTCCCTTCCTACTTTAATCCCAATCAAACTCGCGCACTTCCACCGAAACGGGGTGACTGCTAGGCCTTGACAGATTATGCTAGCATAATTTTTCGCATAATAATAATAATAATGACAGTTCGCATTTCACTCATTGCATGAGGTCAACACAACCAAAATCGACCAAAATCGAATAATCGCATAATTCGAGGCAAACTGCATACGAATCGCATGAAATTGGAATAATCCTCCTGTTCGCATCAAATTCCATACAGTTTTACATGTTCTACAAGTACAAGCAGATGCACCAGGAAGTTGTAGGTTTACGACTCCCGTGATAACATGTCCAGTCCACTACAATCAGTGACCAGGGTGACGGTCGTAGCTAGATCGGACGGTGCGTTGACCCCGTTGAACTTCTGCTACTACAGTACAACGCCCTCTACAAAAAATTCACCTGTTATTTTGCACAGAACCATCATGTACATGTACATTAGCAGCATATGTGAGCATAATGCGGCATAAGATGATAACTTTAAGCATAATTCTGCAATTTTTTCAGCAATGCGAAAAGCATAATTTCACGAACATATTAGCATAATCTGTCAAGGCCTAGTGACTGCACCCTACTAGATGGGGGGTTGTATGCAAAATGTCACTAAAAGCGCCATTTCGTTCTTATAAAAGCACGGATGACCGCGATTAGCCCATACGCTGTAGTCTTTTGGACGCTGAGTCGACTGGTTTTGGTCCGAAAAGGCTGCGATGCAGCGTTCCTCTTTTATTCCCAATCGAACATGGTTGAACAAGCGGTCACGTGCTCCTGCATTCACCAGTCACCTGGTCACCGTGCCTGCAGGGTACAACTTAATAGCCTGTTTGACCTTTTTTTGGGTGCAGTGCTGTCACTCGAGTTGAACTTGAGTTGAACCTTGGTGTGATAGTTTTCGCCTGCTGGCGTGGTGACCAGGTGATTTGGGCACCCAGGTGTGGTGTACCGGCACGTGGTCTTTCTTGTCCCGGACCTTGGAGATATCATCTGAGGAGTTTGGTGGTCTGGAAGCCGTCATCAGGGAGCGCCTCATCCCAGCCCTTACTGGTCGCCTCTCTCCGTCCAGTGTGCTGCAGCTTATGCTCTCGTTCCCTTGTCGGGATGGCGGTTTGGGTCTCTCGATTCCCACCGCCCAATCTTGCCAGACACCCTTAGCAAAAAACGTAATGTTGTAACGGTATTATCGTAGGGGGGAAAATACCGTGATTTGGGTTCGACCTTTAGCAAGATGCACGCTATTTTTAGTACGCTGTTGCCACGAGAATAGCTTTGATTTCGCGCGGTACAACCATTTTTGTCACCATATACGCGATACAAGGTGAAATGCGTACGAACTATGCAATATTTGGCCAAAACACGTACCGTTGGTCACAACGATAAATCAGCCCCATAACGTTTATACGCTGCAGCTTCAACGCTATTTGGGTGATCAAGGTACGAGTACCGTAAAAAATAGCGTCACCGTTGTTTGCTGAGGGTGTCTACCATGCCCACTCCCGAGCTGTTACTAATGAGCTCAGGGAAAGGATTGTTAAGGCAGATTCCTTGCTAGCTGGTGTGGCAGACGCTACCAAGACCGCGAAACGGCAAGTCCGCACTGCAGTTCGGGCATCACAGCAACAGCTGAAGGAGGGATTTGCGAGCGGTGAAGGTGCTGTACATGTGGCTCAGCTTGAGCTTGCTTCCGAGCGTGGTAGCTCTGCTTGGTTGACGTCACGTCCTCTATCCTGCCATGGCTTTCGTCTCTCTAAGTCTGAGTTTCGAGACGCTCTGTGTTTGCGCTATGGCTGGGTGCCGGAGCGTTTACAGTCATCCTGCGTTTGTGGCAACGCGCGCTACGACGTCTCCCACGCGTTATCCTGCCTGACCGCCGACCGGTGGATTTCCGTCTTTAAGACACAATGAAATCCGTGACGTCACCGCCGACCTCATTCGCCAGGTGGCTCACTCGGTATCCGTGGAACCTCCACTGCAACCGCTCTCTGGTGAGCAGTTCAGCCTCCGATCTGCGTCCTTAGAGGACAATGCTCACCTCGACATCGCTGCCAGTGGGCTATGGGGTGGCCGGTTCGAACGCACAATTTTTGATATACGGGTTTTCAACCCCTATTCTGCTTCGAATCGTGCTGCCTCAACCCCCGCTGCGTATGCCCGCCATGAACGCGGGAAGAGGAGGAGATATGAGGAGAGGACTCGGGAAGTCGAGAGGGCCTCCTTTCTGCCTGTCGTCATGTCAGCTAGTGGTGGTGCTGGGAAAGCCGCCACAGTTTTGTACGAGCGCTTGGCTGCTCTTATCTCTGAGAACAGAAACGACCAGTATTCTGCCACCATGGCGTGGATTCGCACTCGGCTTTGCTTTGCGCTGGTGAGGTCGAGCATCGTGTGTTTGCGTGGTGCCAGATCGTCCAAGTCACGCTACCTCCAGCGAGATCCGGTTGAGGTTGTCATTGCGGAGACACGCCTGCGGCCTGAGGCATCTGACTAGCTTAAAAAACACACACACACACAAAAGTTGCTTGGACTGAATTTCACTTGTTTTATTAATGTATTAATATTATAGTTACTGCACAGTACCATACTGTGCATGCTAGCCACATAATCATAATAACTATTTTTGGGTTTGCCCGTACAAGAGGCTCTTCTACACAGAAAAAAAGTGTGGCGTACCCGTGTACATCGTACATATTTGCACTCTAATGTCTATTCATGGTACTGCATCTCCTTGCATGGACGTGCGTACAACCTTACAGCATACTACTCATACTATACATGCATGTGTGTACTCCGTGCCCATAAATATTCGACAGTGCATGTCTCTTGTTGCGGTTCAGTCTTTCCTTGGTAGTTTCCTGACGATTCATCCTCTCTCAGTCCTTCGTTGCATTATTCTATTTCAATATAACTAATCATCACATAGACTTGATGATACCACATGGCGCAGTGAACTTGTTTTAGTACAAGTACTTCAGTAGCAGTTTCCATTCGTCTTTCTCAGGTCTGGGTCTTGCTGTACCTCTGGCGATTCGTCTTTCAAATAAAGTGAAATTATTTGAAATTATTTCCGTTTCGGCATGGCGGAATCAGACACACCAGTGCTCAGCCCTGACATTGCTACCCTCACCCAGCTCATGAGACAGCAGATGAAGACCGCCGCCACCCGCGAGCAACACCTGACACAGCTCGTGGAGCGAACTTTGAGGAGCATCTCTCAACCTCCACCACCGCAACTTCCACCACCAGCCCCACCGGCACGCGTACATGTACCTGCGGCGAAACCAGTTTTGGTCGATCGCCCTCTGTTACTTGCCTCTGGCTCTCTCGCAGAGTTTGCCGCCTGGGAAGGTCTTTGGCAGGACTACGCCCGGTGCCAGCACCTGGATTCCCAGGACAATGCCACCAGAGTGGCAACTGTTCGTCAGTGCCTGGACGAGGACCTCCGGAGATTTCTTCGTAAGGGCACAATTCCTCTGGCTGACAACCACGACGACGACGATCTCATCAAGGCTCTACAGGCATACATTCGCGGAGAGCGGAACCCTCTGCTGGACCGGATCGCCTTCTATGCCCGCCAACAGCAGCATGGAGAGTCCTTCGATCACTACCTGACTTCCCTCAGGGAGATCCACAATTGCTGCGATTTCAGGGACAGCGTACCAGGTACGACGAGACCATGCGTGCTCGCCTGGTTACTGGCATTCTCGACACGGAGACACGCCATAAGCTCCTTGCCACCACCAATCTAACGTTGGGGAAGGTAATTAAATTGTGTCGAGCGGAGGAGGCAGCCTAGCCTCTCGGACGAGCAGCAGTATCCCCGGCACTAGCTCCGTCAATGCCGCTCGGAAAACAGATTATCAGCGGTCTAAACACGGCAGTAACCCGCGACAGCAACAGCCGTCCGCCACGCCATCGAAATGTCCGAATTGTGGTCGCACTCCCCACGCCAGCAAGTCGCAGTGTCCTCCACACGGCAAGAAGTGTAGCGGCTGCAAGACTTTTGGACATTTCCAAGCGGTGTGCAGAAAATTCCGCAAACCGGCGGACAGTCCTCGCAGCGCACGCTGGGACGACTACAGCTCCGCCGCACTCAGTGTGATGCATCTCCTACGGTGCCAGTCGACACGCAATTGTGCACTGAACCTGACGCTACCTCTCTAGAATGGATCCCCGATACGGGAAGTGACATTGACACTATTGGCTCAACGTGACGATATCCCTGAACTCACCCTTGTACAGGCTATAACCATGCTCATGCAATGGCCGAGTATTCAGCCAGCTTGTGAATAAGTTTCTATCGAATACCCAGAGTGGATTCCGCCCTGCACGCTACACTGCCAATGTCATTTGGTTCTATAAGTGGTTCACAGTGAGATGTCAACGGTTACGTTTCTCACTGGACGTATTGCCATAAATATGAGATAAGTGTCCGACTCTATCTCGTGAACAAAGCTGCTCGATGTTCCTCAATCTTCCCTGTTAGGAGATGAAGTGAGAATGACTGTCTATGTTCTCCATGCCACAATGCTAAGTGTTGTCCTGCCAATGGCTACTGGCCCAGATTTTGCAACTATCCATGGCACCTGCAGGCTGACTCATTGTCGCCAGTTCTGTTTATCATCTATCTTGAGGCCACTCTATGAGAGATGCGGAACTACTGCAGCCTAGGTCAACGACTGACATCCAGCTGTGCCTCCCAGCAGACACAGCATACGCAGGTGATGTTGACTTTGCGACTACGGATAGTCAGTGGCTGCAGTCAATGATGCCCAGCATAGCTAACACACACACACTACTCACCGGGGAGTTGATTGTCAATGAGACAAAGACAGAGCTTACACATGTTGAGCTATGCCTGGACTGTGTTGCCGTGGAGTGGAGGGTCACGAGGAAACTGGGTTCCCAGCTGGGTGAACCGCAGGACTTAACATGGCAGATTCCACTAGCCTCAGCTGCATTCTCAACCCTCTGGTCGCTGTGGATTCGCCAAACAATGGTAACTGAATCACTGCGGATTCAACTGTATAACGCTTTCATTCTGCCCATCATTGGCGACAAATGCGATACATGGGCATTGACCTCATAGCAGTTGATACGGGTGGAGGCATTTAACCGAAAACAATAAAGGTCGCTGTTTAGAAACCACTATCCAAATCGAATGAGCAACAAGAGCGTTCACAAATGCACCGGCACACCAGCCCCAATTGACATGGTTATTGCTACCGCAAGGTGGAGGCTGTTTGGGTACTGCCTCCGCCTGCCCAAGGATACATAGGCACAGATTTCCATAGAGGCGTATTTCTCTCACAGCTGAAAGGTCGTCCTGGAGGGGTAGACCGGGGACCACCTTAGGGTGCGCTCAGGCTATAATTATTACGTGTGTGTGTGTGTATGTGTGTGTGTGTGTGTGTGCACAAATGTTGGCAGAAGAGTAGTAATATTACCACTAGAACCCACCCACAGCGTATACCTGGTATACCTACAGTGTGGGTACCCGTAACTTTGAGGTCCGGGTTAGAGAGACATGAGTGTACTAGTACAGACTTAACGTTGTTAGTACGACTTCCGTTACAAGACAAACGTCATTAGGCCATGGTAAAAAATAAAGTTGATTCTCAGGTCATGAGCCTGTGAAAATCGGTGCGAGCGAGCGATTTTTTATTTTATTTCCCACAATTTTTTTCTTTCCAAAGATAGGGTCACACATATGTACATGGTCACATGTTCATAATTCAGGCCAGGGAGTAGAAAAATACCGGTATTTTACTACTCCCTGATTCATGCCTTTCGCATTGACCGTTTTCATGAGCGCATACATGTATGCATGCATAGAAATTTAAAAAAATCGTCGGTGCGCCGCCAAAAATCGGTGCGCGCGTACTTGAGAATCAAAGATAATTTTTACCATGGCCTTAGCGGACAAAGATCTTAAATCCCCTAGCACCATGTGTACATTGTATAATGGCAGTACACACGACACAGAGCACCACGCATCATTCATTGTAACTTATTGTTTCATGCCCATAGGCAACGAATGATGCGTGGTGCTCCGTGTCGTGTGTAATATAGCTCTATTTGAGCACTCTACGGAGCAGGAGGACTCTCATTTGTATAATGGTAGTACATGCAAATCCGGATAAGAGACAATTCGTTTGTAGAAAAATTCATTATAAAAATCACCTTTAGCTGTCCCACAGGTTCGATTCCCAGTCATTACAAGACAAAACAAATGGCCGTGGACTGCAAAATTGTTGGCCCAATGTTCCCTTGCCAACAGCTAGGCGGAAAGTTTGAATGTGATTTGTCTGGATTTGTTTTTTTCCAGCTCCTGTAGCTCGATCGATGTTTCATGTTGTCTTGTATAGGAGGGGTTCGATAAAAATTGTTTTACAATGGGTTGTCTTGTACAGGGGCCAGGGGAAAACTTTGTCTTGCAATGGGGAAACAGCGTTCCTGATCTGGATACAGTATGTAGTATGTACGAGTATAATTATGATGTACTGTCGCGCACATGGAAATCCAGTCAATTGACCGGAGCTAGCGCCCTCAGCGCCTACAGAACAGTGCACAAGTTGATCCGATTCGACCAGCGCGCTGCAGCGCATAGTAATGTCATTCATGTGTGTAGTCTGTACTGCTTACTCATGGCTGCATGGCCAGCGCCCTGGGGCCGCTAGACGTGCGACCGGATTTCCATGTCCACGACAGTAGAACAGCAGGAAAAATATGCATGTCGTGTTCGTAAGCAATACTCGTTAAAATAGTAAAAAATCTTTAAAACGAAAATGCTGAATCCTCACCCCCGAGGTTGTCTGCTAGTCTAAGAGGGTAGACCAGGTAGACCTACAGCCACTTTTCTACCTTGTGCGGTAACAGCGCACGCATTCCCGGATACACTGTACATATGTGGTATGTTCAGGAAACACAAAAATATTGTAAACTTTACCTGCCGATGCTGCGCAATGCAGCTGGCAATTGATAGCGGCTCCTCCAACTCCGCGGTCCGGTGATGGCCGCAAGGAGTCTTCACTTCCACGCAGAACTAGCACGATCTCGTGACAAAACGCTATCCGAAATGACCAGCTCAAACACCACACAACCTTCCTGTTCCATTACTCACTGTAATCAAACCAAAGGAACACTGGTTGTCCTGCGTGGGACGATATATTATAATCGATAACTTTTTTTTCACTGGCACGGATAAGTGCCTGGGAAACAAGAATCACTGATACTGGTGGTATGACTCATTTTTTTCTTCTGGGGGAACTCTGTAGACGTGTAGTCGCGTGCGCAGGGGCCTAGCGCCTGACGAGCTGGTAGTGGTAGTGCTGCAGTGCTGGAGGTGGATGGTACTACTTGGTAGACCGACCGTTGTAGACTTGTCACGATTGACCACAAAAATAGGTCCTGACCCGGTCTGCACGTCTACATAGTACATAGGCATGGTCATGGATATCGATACTGCATTCGGTGCATCGAATCAACAAGACCAGTCCTTCTTTCGCGTTTGACAGCACTCCTTGTTGTCTAGATATCCGAGTCTGACATGATGTCGCCAAGGCCGTGCGTCATGTCAGCGCTGCGTCTCAGCTAGGAATCCCTCATCATCTCACGTCTAGGCTCCACGTCTCTAGGCTGTACTACCACTACTGGCACTAGTAGTACTAGTAGTACTGGCGTACTGCCAGTGCCACTACTCACTAGACTTTCAAGTCTCATCATGTCAGGTCGTGTACCATGGTCTACGTAGATCTACGTACAGTGGACATGTAGTATTGTAGATCTACATGACATGATTGGTATTAAAGTTAATAAACCTTGTTTTAAATCCATACATCCTGTACACACACCTTGTACACACTCTCTCTAACGGTCTCTAGGCTACACTGCAATAATTGATATACATAAGATCAAATTTTCGGGCAAGGCCCATCATCAGGAATAAGTCTACTGTAGACAAAACAGGGGTTTATATTATATAATATATGTGACAAGTACTAGTGGCCAAAGGTGTGATGGTATAGCGTAAAAATGTTGCAATACCACAGGAAGCGAGAATATTCTGTGTGATATGTATGAAGTGAAAATATAGTGCAGGGATAGTGCAAGATTACTAGTGTGAGTGCAAAGCAGAAAAATACACACTTCTAGCAACACTCACGCACATACATACACACGCACACACACACAGTGCACACATTCTTGCACAAATTATGACAGATATATTTACACGTCACCCAACAGTCGCCAACCATTGTCACTGTTCACTGCAGGCTTCCTCTTCCTCATGAATAGTGCCTCCATGATTCTGCGGTCAACGTTTGACCGTTGCCTGCTGGCGAGAACTTGTAGATGGGAAAACGGCGAGAACCGCGGTGACGATGGGAAGGTGTGCTGCTTTTGTCCATTCGTGCCTGCACATTTATCGAGTACTGAAGATTGCATGACGGCGATGCGCAACCTCGAAAACCTCCCAGAGGAATGTATTGTAGCGTCTCTGGACGTTGTGTCATTGTACTCGAATATTCCTATTCAAGAAAGCATCGATGCGGCCATGGAGTTATTAGAAGAGCATGAGGAATCAGTTGATATGTTCGCACTGTCATTATCAGACATACGCGAAATGCTCATATTTGTCCTCGAGTCAAATTTCTTTGAATTTGACGGCGCCATCTATCGACAACAGCAGGGTCTAGCTATGGGCAACCACCTCGCGCCCCCATTGGCTATTATCTTTATGTCGAAATTCGAGTCACGTGCCCTGTCTGAGTATCCCCTTAAACCGCTCTTATATCGTCGGTATATTGATGATTGCATACTCGTTTGGATCTTTGGTATTGCGGCATTTCTGGCATTTGTTGATTATCTCAATTCCCGCCACCCACGCATACAATTCACCGCAGAATATACACACACGACCAACTCTCACACCATCAGTTACTTGGACCTGTCAATCTCGGTGTCAGGTGGCAAGTTGGACTGGGAGTTATTTGTCAAGTCGTCCCATAGTGGTGTACATTTGTCATATTTGTCTGCTTTGCCAATGGAAACAAAAATCGCTGTCGCCAACAACCAGATCCGCAGGGCAGTCAACAACGCAACAACGGAGGCAGGACGACAACGGGGGATTAAAAAGATCACCACACTCCTCCTTGAGAACCACTACCCACGACGCATTATACAATCAGCCATTCAACACTCCGACACCGCACGGACAACCGCACGCATCCGAGAGCAGCCCCACCAGCAGACACCACACCGGAAGGCGAAACGACAGTACACGTCACTTGTCAAAGTACCGTACGTAAATGACCAGCTTGCAAGGAGGGTTCGTCAAGTGATCAGGTCGTTTGATAGAGATGTGCGTGTGGTCTTTAAGTGACGTCTGGTCGCTCACTAAAGGATATGTTGGTCTCGTCGTCATTCAGCAAGCCACAATGCCCCAGGACGGTACAGCAGCAGAGGGAGAAGAGGGGGCGGGGTCAGCCGGCTGAATGTCGTGCATGCGATGGTGGTCTGAAGCGTGATGTTTGTATGTCCCAAGATGTGGTGTACTCTATGAAATGTACCATCTGTCAAGAATAATACGTCGGGGAAACAGAAAGGACAACACGCAAGAGGACTGAGGAGCACTACAGACAAGCCAAGAACGCGACACTGGGAAAGCCATGGGGAGACCATTATCGACAAAAGCAGCACACCTTCCCATCGTCACCGCGGTTCTCGCCGTTTTCCCATCTACAAGTTCTCGCCAGCAGGCAACGGTCATACGTTGACCGCAGAATCATGGAGGCACTATTCATGAGGAAGAGGAAGCCTGCAGTGAACAGTGACAATGGTTGGCGACTGTTGGGTGACGTGTAAATATATCTGTCATAATTTGTGCAAGAATGTGTGCACTGTGTGTGTGTGCGTGTGTATGTATGTGCGTGAGTGTTGCTAGAAGTGTGTATTTTTCTGCTTTGCACTCACACTAGTAATCTTGCACTATCCCTGCACTATATTTTCACTTCATACATATCACACAGAATATTCTCGCTTCCTGTGGTATTGCAACATTTTTACGCTATACCATCACACCTTTGGCCACTAGTACTTGTCACATATATTATATAATATAAACCCCTGTTTTGTCTACAGTAGACTTATTCCTGATGATGGGCCTTGCCCGAAAATTTGATCTTATGTATATCAATTATTGCAGTGTAGCCTAGAGACCGTTAGAGAGAGTGTGTACAAGGTGTGTGTACAGGATGTATGGATTCAAGTATTGGCTACAGTGGAGTCTCCAAACCTTGAGAAACCTTGTTTTAGTTCACACATGTTGTTGGCTGACAGCATGAAACAAGGTGGAGGACACTGTGTTCGGAAACAGTGACCTTTTTCTACAACCATCCACGGTTGGTAGAGCCCCCGTGTTTCAGACCATCTGAACAGTATGGGTCTTAGACCCGGTTCTGACCCTCTTTATTCTTTTCTAGGGGAGTTTTTTTTTAGACTTCTCCTAAGGTCAGAACTAAATATTGCGACAGAGCTTTCGGCCATATTTTCAATTCATTGCATTCCCAACTCATCACAACCACGCGCTCTTCAGCCGAACCATACAGACACCAGCAAGGACACTTCCGTTGAGAGATAATATTGCTCCACGCCTCTAGACAGCTGTTTCGCTCCCTGTCGGACCTCATCAGTAGAGGATGATAATGATGATAATGGAGGAATGATCATTCTTATACACCAGAAATGGCGCAAGTGCGCGCTTTCCACATATCAATGGCATATGCAAGCTGCTAAAATGGTAAAGTGTGAGAACAGCGATAAATAATCATAGTACGCGCTCATTGGTGGAGAGACACACCACACAAGCGACGAAAATCTTACTCGGAATACTGATGCCAATGGAAAGTACATGTATGTTGTTTATTATTATGATGTTGCAATGTCCATGTATGCAGGCGAGGCGAGACTCACCGCCGAGATCCCCCAACGCGACAGGCTCGGTTGCCGTTCAGGATTCACACCGACCTGTCCGCCCGTCAACAGGATCGACAGCGGGAGGCCCCACTGATGCCGATGTCGATGCACACCAGGAAACTTGTAGTCGTGAGTGTGATACTAACAGGTCTAGTAGCAACCACTGACAAACGAGAGGTCAGCTGGGGCATTCACTCCAGTCAGGGATGCTTGGTCGACGCTTCGTATCAGCAGCTCAGCTCAGTTTGATCAAAGATGTTGCAGATGTGTCTTGCTTTTCTCCTTCCTTCTTCACCGACTCGTCTTGTCATCTCTCCTTCTTTCTTCACCGACTCTTCGTGTCCACTCTGCTCTGCCACTAACGGCGCATTAAAACTTCAGAACTAAATATTGCGACAGAGCTTTCGGCCACACGTCAGTCGTGTATTCTGTGATTGCTCCTGGATGTCTTCTTGATAGTCATAAAACATAGTAGCTATTTTAGCCTGAATTGTTTTCCTTTTCAAACTCTTTTTTCTTCTGCCCATGGCGTCCCTCTCTCAGCTCGCCACACAGTCACCACACACTCCTGCCACTATGCTGGCCCTCTGGACATGATTTAAAAGTTCTTGCGCCTCACTGACAGGCTTTCCAGGCCGGAAAAACTCAAAATTCCGGCATAGTGCCACGGTGTGCGAGCCACCCAGGAGCCAAACAAATACATTTACAAGTTTTTCACATTTCATTTTTTAGCCAATTCTGTCCGGGCGCAGGATCCAAACCTAAAAACGTCCAGAAGCAGCCATGTGTGGTGGGATAGGGCCCTTCAACGTGGCCCTGGAATCTGTCACGACGGCAGGAGTGGCGTTCTGTCACAGACCCAATTGGGTACGACCTCGTAGCACGCCCTGAACCTAAAAAATTCAAAAATTGACTTGGCCAAGTCAATTTTTGAATTTTTTAGGTTCATGGCGTGCTACGAGGTCGTACCTTTGATACAACATCCAGTGCTGGGACTTCCACAGCAAGCCATTTCCACAGCGCTGCAAACAAAATCCAGGATACCCTCAAAATCGGCAAAGACTACCACTCACGTTCCACTACTGCCTAGTACTGAATCCTACCTGACTTTTTGACACGACTCAAACTAACTTGCCAAACTTTAATCAGTCAAGCTCTTCATGTGTGACCGCGGCCTCAACATCAACTACAATAATCAAGCCACATACTAGTACAGTCGTCCCTCTCTAATCCGGCACTTTATAATCCAGCACCCTCGATAAACCAGCACGATTTTCAGTAGCCAAAATGTCCTCTTCATGCACATTGCAGCAGTAAATCAGATTTGTTAATCCAGCACCCTCCCTAATCCAGCAGATTTTCGTGGCACAAATGGTGCCGGATTATAGAGGGACCACTGTACATGTATCTGCAACGTCACGAGGGTGCGAAGCCCGCCGCCGTGCAGCCCAATACGTGGCTAAAAAATATAATTTTTTGGACTTTTTTGGACTTGGACCAAAATTCTGCACACTTTCGCGTGTTTCCATGATACGACAAGTAACGCACGGTCTGCTCACATGCACATTCAAATACAGTCCTGCCAACAAATGACAGCGTGCAACAAAAAATCTTTCCTTGCAAGGGCACATTTTCGGCCATAACTCTGTAACGGCTGGTCAGATCGAGACGACATTTTCAGAGATTTTGCAGCTATTCATGCTCTTTCAACTGATGTAGCATTCGATTAGAATTTACGAACTCGATTTTTCAGGGATTTTACGACCAGGCTGCCCCCAGAGTCATTGAACATCAGCTAGTTATCACACTGCGTTCAAAAGTCGCGTTTGCGTCTGCGTTTTCTTCTGTTTTTGACGGTCGCCTAGGAAATGTCATCACGTGACGTTATCGTGAGCGCGTTGGTTTCCAGACGCACAGCCGCAGCCGCAGACGCAAACCAGGGGGGGAGGGGGGGGGGGGGGGTGGTCAAAACCGAATCGCGTAAACGCAGATCGGACTTTCTTTATCGCAGCACTTCCTGCATTGTTTTTGAGTGTTTTCAAATGATTCTCAAGTGTGCTTTTCAAATCTTCATTTCCATCTAGTTGCTGAGGCCGGCGAGGGTACTTCTACCACACTTTACATCTTTCAAAGCATTCGTCTAGGGGTTGAGTTGAATCTTTTACACAACCTTGTTACATCTGCCTTGAGTTTCTTTGGATTACACTTTTTTCAAATTTTCATTTTGATTTCATCGTCGAGTTTCATCCCTTGTATCTTTGGTATTCTTCCTTCTTTCCATGTCGCATTGTTTGAATAAACCCGTTTTGACAGAATATACAGTCATGATAACCTAACACTGGTTAAAAAACAGTGTTAGATAAACCTTGTTATAGTTCACGCAATTGTTAGATTGACAACATGAAACAAGGAGGAGGACACTGTGTTCGGAAACAGTGACCTTACTACAACCTTCCGCGGGACCGGGGCTTTGCCAACCGCGGAAGGTTGTAATAAGGTCACTGTTTCCGAACACAGTGTCCTCCACCTTGTTTCATGCTGTCAATCTTACAATTGAATATACAGTCATGTACGGGTTTTAACGCTCCGTGTTACTGGGGTGGGGTGTTGCCTTATGATTGTGTAACTGCATGAAACTCAGATTACATGTACAGTGAAACCTGTCTAAGACGACCGCTCAAGGGACCTTCAAAATGTGGTCTCTGATACCAGGTGGTAGCCTTATCCAGGGTCATTTGACTGGAAATAGCATCCCTTGGTCCTGGTTCCATGATCCAGTGGTCTTCTAGGACAGGTGGTCACCTTATCCGAGTGGTCGCCTTGACAGGTTTTACTGTAGTGACAAACTAGCATTGGACTTGTTGTTCTGTGTGACGCTCCATTGTTATTAGGGGACATCCGTAAATATACATGTACATGTAGATATTTATTTAGAAACGAAAACTAGTCGTTTAGGGGGGGGGGGGGGGGTTGAGCGCCTGTTCGTTTCTCAATAAATATCGATGCACAGTTTGTACGTGTGGGCAAGTCCAGAAAAAAAGAAAAAATATATCGATACAATGTACCGGTTGTACATGTATGTGTTCGTTTCTCGGGGAGGGGGAGGGGGTTGAAGAGAAATGACTGGTTTTCGTTTCTAAATAAATATCGGTACATGTATTTACGGATGACCCCTTACTAACTGTTCCATTGGTTGTGTAGAGTCCCATATAATACATGTGTATGACTGTGTCTACATTCTGTTTTGTCTCCATCAGTCCATGTCCTGCATAGGCGAAACGTGTGGATAGTAAAAATTAAAAAAAATCAAAAAAAATCAAGCATGAATGAATGCTTGGTTGACGCGGCATGCCACGGGAATGAGTATAAAAAATTAATAATAATGACGCCGCTATGACACAGCGCTGAGCACTAGAAGGCCACTGTGTTCGCTATTGTACAGTCATGTACATGTACATGCACAACAATACAGTCTACGCTAACGCTACTGCCAGTTGATCTTTGCTAACACTACTGCCGCCGTGCCGGGTGATCTTGGAACACAGGGCGTAAGGACCATACCACAATAAGTATGTAATCAAGCACGCTCAGGAGGTCATGATGGCTGAATCTTGCCCGAGCCTGCAGCCCAAGGCCGTAGGCCCGAGGGCTGCAGGCAAGGGCAAGATTCAGCCATCATGACAGACAGAGCGTGCTTGATTTGATTTCTTACAGCGCGAAGGAACATATTAGGGAAGGTCAAAGGTGGAAAGGTCGAAAGGTCGAAAAATTATTCCCGAAATGACGTCAAACGGTCCGAACATTCCCGAAATGACGTCAAACGGTCCTGATGGCCTGATTATGCCCGCGGCGGGAAGATCGCCTATTGGCCATGGCCCCGGCAACGATCACGTGTCATGTAAGAAGCATTGGTTACAGTATTTTGAGCATCAGCATAGCACAGCTCCATCCTAGACTAGAGGCTACGTTAGTAGATCATAGCTCTGCACTGCATTACAATTTCAATGTCATGAACATACAATGTACACTCGTAACTGACTGCAGTGTTGACTGTACTGCCTGAGTACCGGTAGGCGTTCACGCAAAACACTGATCGACCGCCTACACATAAGGCTGAAACGTACATGAAACCTACATGACTGTACAATCATGTACATGTACATTGTATGACTGTGTAAACCTGTGTGTATGACTGTACTGACTACTGTTGTGGCCGTGGACATGGAAATGCGGTCGCACGTCTAGCGGCCCCAGGGCTAGGGCGCTGGGCTGGCCATGCAGCCGTGGGTAAGCGGTACACACATGCATTTATGCGCTGCAGCGCACTGCCACTGCCCCATCGCCATCGGATCAACATGAAACTGCACGCGCAGCGTTCTGTATTTTTTATTTATTATAATTATTTCTGCACCTCGTGGCATGTCAAGACAGCCAATTGAATTGAGGAGAGGGTGAGACCAACCACGGAAGAAGAGAAAAAAGAAGAAAAGAAATGAAGAGCACGTACACAAAGTGGGAAGGGATTAGCAACTTACAAAGCAATGGGATGCTCAGCGAGCTATGCAGCGGAAGTGGTGCCTGTGGTTTTGTTTACTGGGAGATATGTACGCGCTGAGGGCGCCGGCCCCGGTCAATCGACTGGATTTTCATGTCCGCTACAGTATAATTATTAGTGCTGAGTCGGGTAGCATTTTCTTCGGGTATCGGGCTCGGATAATTTTCCACGGGTAGCATGGGTACCCGATCGGGTAATGTTTTCATGGTAGCAACACAATGCACCCCTTCCTTTACACACTGGGCAGACATGCGGAGTATTACATCAATTAACGTGCACTGTACTTGATGTCTTCTGCGACTTCGGGTTTTCGGGCACTTTTCCGTACCCGTCTACCCGAAGTCCTCACGGGTAGCACGGGTACCGGACTACCCGTGCACACCACTAATAATTATTATTATTATGTATCAACTATTTTACTTGGATGTACATGATTGTACCAACTGCAAACTACAACACTGCATGCAAGCTCAATGATCAACTATCTAGCCCAGAGCCTTTTGAACTACAACTACAACTTATCAACTAACTAAAAAATTACTTACAAGTCATGTACTGACTTGGTTCATATGGAGAGCAAACAGATTACGTCAGTGTCCAAAGCGGGGGTGTTCAGTGTGCACAATATCCTATGCTATGTACGGTCGGTGGATTTAGATGTCAACCTCTGCGCTAGAACCGGGATCGGGTATACCGTCTGGAGTAAACTCTCACCGTCGTTACTTGACAGAACAAGCGATGATATCGCAAGCGGTGACATGATGTGTTCACTAAAAATTGATGACATCGACATCGACGGGCATTGTTTCCCCTCAGCTCCTACTCCTATGTTCCTCTTTGTGTTTTGAAGTGTACAAAAGTTACTTGTTACTTGAGGGACAGTCCTCCTCATTGAAATCCGACTCAGGGTGTCAAGTAGGCGCACGGCGCTGTTCAGCCCTAGGCCTGCGAACATTAGGATGTGCACAGTTGCACTGCGCGAAGCTGCCTCATGGGGCCGGATTTCATCGAGCAGCCCTGCAGTTACGCTTCTTGTCAGTTAGTTAGTTCTCTCTCTCTCTCCCTCTCTCACACAAACAAGCTATAACCGTTATGCTTATACCACGCTATTTCACTGACCTGCCAACCCACTATCCCACAACAAAGTCCCAATTCAGTCGGTTAGCCTGGACGTCTCAGCACTGTGAAGGCCATTACGGCAAACAACGCTTCCATGGGCCTTACTCACTGTATTAGGGATGGACAAATACGTTAGATTCAAACAATCGGCTCAGTAGAGGAAGGAACCTATCCTTGTATCAGGATGGCTTAGCCAACACGACAATGGCCGTATGATTCTTTGGCGTTATCAAATGTGCTTTGAGAAGCCCTGGCCGGGAAAGTCACGTATGATAATTGGTTGTTCCGGTGTTGATTATTAGGTGCGGCAAACACTGTTGTTGTTTGTTTGTTACGTTGACGCCGCATTCTGTAAGAATGGCTGAGCGACCACGGGGCAGCGGCCTCGCACCAAACGCCGCCACTCTCCTCGTATTGCTTGTGCTGGAGGTGGCAGTGACGGGTGGCGCAGCTAGTGATGTTGCGTACTCGGCGGCTGATCGTGGTCGTATGGTGCGAGATGTGGTCAACATGATCAGACCGGACTCGCCCGAAGCCACCCAGCAGCGGTTGGCGGAGGATGAAGAGGAGTACTCGTACTTCTTGCAGGGCCGCCAGCAGGAACTGAACATGGCCATGCTGGAGGAAAGCCATGCCTCTCCAGGGCGGGACACCGAGGAAGAGCAGATTCTGTCCAGGAAAAGGCGCAGCACTTCTGGTAAGCTTAAAGATTCACGTTATATATATGTCCTGACGCGCAATTTCACGTCAATCTTGGCCTAAATCTTCAAATTTCGACGTGAGCTGCAGGTCACTCGCGTTGTTTTCCAACGCGCGAGCCAAATAAGGAGACCTGAACTCTCGCGTCACGTCAAAAATAACGTGCAACTTAACCTCTCTATTAATGATGATGGTATTTTAATGTGTAAAGTCAGTTCTTGGCTGCAAAGAGATCGCTCTACCTGTGAATGCAGCACACTGATGCATGTATTGTAGTTGTGTCCATCACCCAACAATGGTGCTTATTCCGACTTTGAGCCAACTTTGCAAAATCCCTGCCGTCGAACCACACAAACACAGTGGTCCGATCAGCTGACGTTCTGAAGTCGAAAGAAGAACGAAATGTACCTGCTATCAGATCTTCATAACTGGATATAGTGTGATTCGTTCGTTGGAAATGGTCCATGCGAAAACCGATTGTCCTAGTCATTAATAGAATAGACAGGGTACATTAGGGCCCTAGGCAGGTACAATGTAGTGACAGGACTGCAGTAGGGACCGGCGAATTCTGCTCGAAAAGGTGGCAGATTCTGCTCGAAAAGCAGTAAAATCGGCAGAACTATACAAACCTTATGGCGGGCAATTCCTCGAATTCTGCTCCATTTCTTTATCCACATACCAAACATGCATGAAACTCACCAGACAAAGTACCTAATTCTGCCAATTTTTTCTGCCGGCAGAATGCGCTGGACCCTATCCCAGAGTCAGAGACGAATCACGCGTACACAGCTACAGGAAAACCTCTTTATTAAGACCACCAACACCAAGGGATCGATGGCATTGTGTTCGCACAAACGGGAGTTCTTCTTTTCCAGAATACATTGTAATACCCAGTGAATACCCAGTGAATACCCAGTGAGTACCCAGTGAATGCCCAGTGAATACCCAGTGAATACCCAGTGAATACCCAGTTAATACCCAGTGAATACCCAGTGAATACCCAGGGATTTATCCAATAGAGCTATGAATGCTAGTTCTTCTAAAGCAAAAGGCTATCGTATCAGTGCCACAGTGTTCTTCTTGACGAGGTTTCACTGTCTACCATGAACCATGACCATGTGCCCTGAACAGTGCAGGAGAAGCACCCAAAACTGAAAATGCACTGGACTGTTCCAAACTCCATAGATAACTGTCATCGCCCCCTTTTGTCCAAAAGTTATGATCAGATTGATCGGGTGTGTCAGGTAAGTTCGTTTAGGACCTTCTAGGGCTAGGCATTGGCGGATTCTGCTCGAAAAGCAGAGAAATTGGCACAACCATACAAACCTTATGGCGGGCAATTCCTCGAATTCTGCTCCATTTCTTTATCCACATACCAAACATGCAAGAACCTTACCAGAAAAAGTACCGAATTCTGCCAGTTTTTCTGCCGGCATTATCCGCAAAGGCCTATCTAGGGCTACTAGTATGCGGCGACACAGGAGATAGCCCTTGTACCATGTGTACTGGTGTACTGTTGGAGTTCTGTGCCCAGTTTATTTGGGCATATATCGAGCATGGCGAACGGACTAGAAGAGTGTTCTCTGCCGATGGTTCGCATACTGCACACTGCACACTGCACGAGCTATGCTTGCACACTGACTGTCGACTGAGTGGCTGAAAGTGCTATACCGTATTTCCACAAATAGTAGGCCGGTCTACTATTTTTTCAACCTCGTCCTAACCCGGCCTTATAATCGAGGACGGTCTTGTATTCGAGGACGGTCTTTTATTCTTTCAACCCAGTTTGACCCCGGTCTTCTATTTCTCGCCACACAGTTTTACCCCCGTTCTTCCATTTTCTTCTACACAGTTTGAGCTAGCACGGTCTTCTATTTTTCCCACAGTTTGAGCACGGTCTTCTATTTTTAACACAAGAACAAAGACTCGTTTAGTAGGCCCGGTCTTCTAATCGGAGACGGTCTTTTATTATTTCAATCGGACCCTGCCCCGGCCTTATATACGAGGAAGGCGTTGTAAACGAGGACGGCCTTTTATTTGCGGAAATACGGTATATACATGTAGTTCTAGTTCTACACGCATCCATGGTATCCGTGGACTGATATCGGTGCTACGGCATTGTCTCTATAGATCTAGTACATAATGTAGATCTAGTAGTAGATCTACTCTTGACTTCATGGTTTCACGCGATTGGTGTTGTGAATAAAACCGTTCTCAAGTAGATCTACTCTACGCTTGTTGTGCACGGGCGCCGGTGAAAATACAGACGACACGTAGCTAGCTTAGTACTAAAAATAGTAGCTAGAGCCTAGAGGCTAGACGGACTCGACGTCGGTGCACCGTCACCGTGCCGCGCGGTGGTCGAGACTACTAATGCACACGTCGTTTCCTGTTTTAGCGCTGCAACCAGTTACCTGATATCGATGACGTCATGGACCGAGGCTGGGGTAGCCAGGCCCTGGCCCAGGGCCCAGGCCGCGGGGCAGGGGAATACGTCTATACGGGCACTGTAGACAGTGTAGTGTGGAGTTGAGTTTCGGGCGCTGAGTCCTTGATTCAAAAGTCTCTTACGACAAAGCGTTCTTGAGATATTTCAATATTAGCCACGCCCCTAATACCAATGTACGTGTGACGTCATTGTGGCACGGTGCGAAAATACTTTTGATTTTGAATCTCACTTTCTTGAGGAAGAAAGTCACTTCAGAAAGTAGTTTGCCAAGTCACCGTGGTCATCTGAACCGCCGAGATGCCAAAAGTTGTTGTTGTTGTTGCTGGTTGGTTGTGCCAGTATCACATAATCCTCCTGGGGTTAGTTTTCTCAGATTCCCAAAGCATGGAGACCTGGCAAAGCGCTGAGAAGTTGCAATACGTCTTGAAATTTTCAGGCCTATTTTCGCAGCACGAGCTATGCTTGCTCGCTGGATTTTGCTAAGACTTTACGATCCAGAGGTACTAGTACTTGAGAGCTGAGTTTTGACGAGTAGCGCCGTCGACGTCCGGGAAAGACGTCCTAGACCCTGTACCAGATGGATAATACTAATAGGGGATTCACACGACGGGCAAACTCACGTGTGTGGTACTCTTTTTGCTCGTGTGACCCTAGAGCGTGCAAAATCTTGATAAACTTGATCAGGGGTCAGGGCTAGGCCCACGTTTGTGCTTTGCGCGCGTGTAAAAACAGCGAGAGTACTTGAGTATGGTGCTCAAGTTTATGAGTACACAGACGCATGCGAGATTTGCACGGGTCTGTTTTCAGTGTGAATCCGATGGGCAGCTTGTCCACTTTTATACAAACGTGTTTTCGTTCATTTTCACGTCGTGTGAATACCCTATAAATATAATGTAGACGTAAAAGATGGAACAGCACGGGGCGCCGCCCTAGTAGTAGATCTACTACTACTACATGTACTAGTACTAGTAGTAGTACTTTATGTATAGGATATTGCACGGTTCCGAGGTGATTATTTTTCAAATCCCCAAGGCGCGCAGCGCCGCGGGGATTATGGAAAATAATCCTCGCGGACACTGTGCAATATCCTGTATAGACCACACTTTTCGGGTGATCAGCAGCGCTGCAGCATGGACCAATGCACTGACTGTAAACGGAACACCGAGCGCGAAGTACCGGTAGTTCTGATAGTGATAATAGTCGTTTGTTCGTCGCCTCTCCAGGTTTTGATCCACTCATTGGTGATTATTTTTCATATTATCGCACCCCACGTGAGTGTCTCCATGGTTTGAGCCAATCAGCGGCCTTACTGAGCGTGCAATATTCCCCATGTACACCGCCAGCCAATGTGGATGCACTGCAGTGCGATATTGCACCCCGGCGAGTGAGCGTGCAAATAACCTATATTTGCACGCTCACTTCGAAGTGAGGGTGCAAATATAGGTTATTTGCACGCTCACTTCGAAGTGAGCGTGCAGATATAGATACCGTATTAGAGAGGTTAAGATGCACGTTATTTCTGACGTGACGCGAAAGTTCAGCTCGCGTTATTTGCTGACAGTCGACAGGTCGAAAAATCAACGCGAGTGACCTGCTGCTCACGTCGAAATTTGGAGTTTTACGCCAAATTTGACGTGAAATTGCGCGTCACGTCGGAAATAACGTGCATCTTAACCTCTCTATTATCTCTAATATAAGCACAGTCTCCAATAATAGCACGTCTCCAATAATAGAACACCTTGGGGCGGCATTCAAAAAATAAAGTGACCAGTCTCCATTAAAAGCACACTGTGTTAATTCATTATCTGTACCGGCGAAAAAAACCCTGAAATGTGTGTGTCTGACATGAATTTGGCATGGCAACATGCCTCTGAAATGAGGTTGAAATAATAATGGAACAGTCTCCAATAAAGGAACGTCTCCATTAATAGCACGGGGCGGAGGTACATTGAAAAAATAAAGGACCGTGCTTATATTAGAGATAATACGGTATGTTATTTGCACGCTCACTCGCCGCGGGGTGCAATATCGCACTGCAGTGCATCCACATACTCATCTGGTCATTGGCTGGCGGTGTACTGGGGAATATTGCGAGTCGCTCCGCCAAGCAGTCGCTGCTGACTTGCTGCAGCACACCAAATAATAATTGGTCGAGGACGCTGTCGCGGAAGCGAATGTGGACCCGGCTTGCGTCCGCCAAGCCAACTTCACAAGCTCCGTGAGAGTCGAGACAGCAGACGCCCAAGTATTGGAGAAGACTGTCGACAGCCGATTTGAGAAACTGTCCGACGCCGCCATCGACAGCCTCGTTTCTGAGCAGAAAAACAAAAACACAGAGCAGGCAACTGACAAATGGCTCCGCTTATTCGACGAGTATTGTAAAGACACAGGACGTCGCTGTGACCTGAGTACGGTTACGGCAAGCGACCTAGCTTTAATACATTCTGCGACATGCATACGTCGAATTCCGTCCGAAGAAAGCTGGAGTGAAGTTCTACTCTGCATCAAGCTTGCTCGGTTTCCGTTCCGCAATACATCGCAAGCTAGTCGAGTTGAAGCGGCCCATGAACGTCCACAGTGACCCAGCGTTCAAGGACGCAAACATTGCATTGAAGGCTTTCCTCATGAAGCCAAAGAAAGCGGGAGAAGTCAAAGCGGTGGAGCACAAACACCCCATCAACGACGACGACATGAGCAAGCTGTCCCGCTACTTCCAGGATCTCCCGTGTATACAGCAGCTGCTCGAAAGAAGTGTTCCTCTAAAAATGAACGCGACTGGCCTGGTTGTGCTGTGTTGTATGACTGTGAAATGATAGCAGGGTTGCATGCAGCATGCTAGGGTTGCACCAGACTGTGTCAAGTGGGTGGTGACAGACTGTGTGGTGGCAGGGGTGCGATAAATGTATTACTGCACTCGGACGCGTGCGGCGTCGATATCTGCACTTACGGCTTCGCCGTTCGTGCAGATATCGGCCGGTATTGCACTGGTCCTTGTGCAGTAATACATACATCCCCGCGGCGCTGCGCGCCTTGGCCTGGGGATTTGAAAAAATAATCCCCTCGGAACCGTGCAATATCCTATAGTATACAGAGCTCGGGTATACACCGGGTAGTAGGATATCAGACTCACTGCATGCATGCACTTCTTTCACGGGCTTTTTTCTTTTCTTTTTTTTACGAAATAGTTGTTTACCTTCCAGCTCGCCATGCATAATGGCTCTTGTGAAAGTCGGTGGACTTGAACGTTGATGTATTTTTCAAGTCGATGTCTTGGTACATGGTAGACGTTTGCTTCGCCCGTTTTCGAAAGCTACTAGCACTAGCCGAGCATTGGTAGCGGAGGAAATAACTGTACACTTTCGCTCAGAGATGAGGACACGAGCATCGCAATACCGCAATGATTTGACACACGGAATGCCGTTGTATTTGCCACTAACGAGTCAGCAGGAGCGGTGTTTGCTCCACAGCAGGTGCGTAAATATGTTCAGCCTTTCTTTCTCGCCGGTACATTTACAATGCAGTTACGGACTGTGTTCGCTGGGACCGGGCTACCGTGCCCTCTACTTGTACACGTTGTTTTCGAACTAATTCGACTTATTCCAGGGTGACTCAACATTTTAATTCGACTTACTTATCGCGTATGGTTTTGAATACCTTTATGTAGCGTGGCCATAGATGCATGCTTGTCGACAAGGAATGCATTCTGTTTCATCCACGCGGGTACCAAGACCATGCTAGTACTCATGTCGATGAGTGCTTAGATGCTGGACTGGTTCGCATACCTGCCAAGTACTGAGAGTGCTTTTTCTAGATCGCCATCGCAAAATCCCGGGATTTGCCTTGGTTTTTCGGGATATGTCATATTTTAAACCAAAAAAATCCTTTTTCAACTTTTGATGGCACCAACATTTCGAAAATAGATGATTGATGGTGATCATCGGATCACACTAACACATGTTCAAGACTCAAAAACGGAGGTTTTTCATACGCTGCTCATGGACGGAGCACTAGTAGATCCACTGGTACTGCAGGCTATTGCGGTCCGGAATCAATAAGGACGACTACTGGCCTGTGACAAGTCATTTGAAGTGCTCCAAGTACAATATGAAGCTTGTTTCTTGTACAGTGAATTTCGGGATAATCGACAGGAATTTCAGGATCGCGGGAGTTCATCCAAAATTGCGGGATAATCCCGAAAAAATCTGGTTACTTGGCAGGTATGGGTTTGGGTTGTTTTGCGTCGTTTACAGTCACTTAGTTTGACTTTCTTCCCTGGTATAACTCTCCAGCTTGTTTCTCCTTCCTCATGCAGACAACAACAAGAGTTCCGGCACAAGCCGAGAAGAAAACACATGCTGCACTCTGATTGGCTGAGGGCGGTTGACCAATCACTAGCCAATCATTTCAGATGTGAATGGTGTCATTTAGAGTCCATGAGCAAACAGGCAAATAAACACAGGCATATTTGCCTGACTACACCATAGCGATTAAAGAGGTAGAAAAATAAAGCCAGTAAGAAAATGATGATAAAGTGGCTTATGGGACTCGGGAAAAATGTCTGATGATTGCTCTATTCTCCATGTACTTAGGGACCGGCGGATTCTGCTCGAAAAGTGGCAGATTCTGCTCGAAAAGCAGTGAAATTGGCAGAACCATACAACCTTATGGCAGGCAATTCCTCGAATTCTGCTCCATTTCTTTATCCACATACCAAACATGCATGAAACTTACCAGAAAAAGTACCGAATTCTGCCAATTTTTCTGCCGGCAGAATCCGCTGGACCCGACATGTACTTCGAAGTAACAAGGAGTCTCCCAGGGACTTGACCTTGCTTCACGTTTGACTGCGTGTTTTGCTTTGCGCAGGATGTACGCCGAAGATGGACTTGCTGTTCATTCTGGACGCGTCCTCGTCCGTGTCCACCCCGAACTTCAAGACGATGAAGTCGTTCGTGTTCGACCTGACCAACGAACTGGACGTGTCGGAGACGGGAACTCGTGTGGCCACCATCATGTATGGAACAAACGCGGAGGTTAGTGGACAGGTAGAGAGGTAGAAAGGTGTTGCGAGTCATCTTGTGTTAGCCCTTTTGGAATTCCACAGATCAATTGGGTCCAAGAAATAGATGCAATTGCAACCGTGATCGTTCCACCATCATGTATGAAACAAACGCGGAGGTTAGTGGAAAGGTGTTGTTAGTCATCTGGTGTTAACCCTTTGGATCTCCACTGATCAATTGGGGCCAAGAAATAGGTGCCTACGGTAAAGTCTAATACGGTCTAGCAGCAACAACAACAACAGCAACGACAACAACAACCACAACAACGAGGAGCGAAAGGGCCAAGGTCTGGAGAAAAATTGAACTGCCACCGACAGATGCCTTCACTGTAGCGGTTATGCAAACAATGTCATGATCCTGAGTTGGTGGATCTGATTATGGGAACCAAGTATAAAGAGCGAGTCGACTGTTTCGCCTGAGCTGGCGCATCCCTGAGCTAGCGCATCCCTGAGCTAGCGCATCCCTGAGCTAGCGCATCCCTGAGCTACGGCTTTTGCTAAATATCTCGACTGATGATGTAATCGCATACTATAGGTCTACCGATTTTCTGCACATTTAAATTCCGGCCTCCCACGGCTAATACAAGCATTTCAGCCGCATTGAAATGTCGGCCTGTATTGCTGCTGCCTGCATGCACTGTCACACTGAACCTTGCAACACAAAATGTCAGCCGGAATTAGCCAAAAATGAATGTGCGCCAAATACTTGTTGACTTACGCAGTGGCATAGCTCGGACAGTATTTGTATGGATACCGTATATCTTTGGCCAGCCAAGTATACACTCACGCATATGTACTAAGATGAATTTCAGGTTACAGATTCGGGTACTGCTGCAAAATCAGGGCAGCACTACCGTTCATGCGTCCTGCCATGTTGGCGGCGCCATCATGGCTTTGGCCATGCACACGAGACAAATCGAGCTTGCAGTTTCGATGGTACATGTAGCTCAATACAGAGTCGGCCAATACCCTGCCAGTTTCACCTTCCGTACATTCCACAACGCCGAGGAACTCTTCCCGTATCTTATAGCTGGCATCCACAAACCGGATCACAATGAGCATGTGTTCCTTGTGTTGAGTACGAAAAGGACGGCGGCATATTCTCCAGAGACTAACACTTGTCGCTGCAATCAACCGCTTTGTCTGCCAGCACACTGGAGGTAGGAGCTTGACGGATCTCCTGCAGCAGAGACTCACGAGTAACATCACCACATCACCACAGCATGCTATCAGATCATTCTGGATCTGTGGAGAAGTCAAGGGTGACAATACTCCACCACCCGCGCTCGGCCGATGGCATGGACGTGTGATTGTGGTATCTGCTGAATCGTGGCGGAATTGCATCAAGGCCAAGAAGTTTCCGGACTTTCCATCGCGACTTCCTCACTCCATGGCTGCCATTTTTCTTGTCTGTGTCCTCTAACCGCAATATTCTGCCTTCCACAGAAGATGGTTCACTGCAAGATTGCAGTTCGCTAGGCAATGTTTTCTTCTGCTTGAAGACTCTCTCGGTCCTTCACCTGCTCCACTGGATCGGGGGGGGGGGGGCTCCTGCAGACTGCGCTGCTTTGACGGCGGCAAACGTAGCCATGGAGTCAAGGTGGGCTTCTCAACTTAAAAGCTGTTCAGTTTCAGCAAAGCAGATGCTCTTCCAAAACCCACCCTTGGACTTGAATACAGCAGCCCTAGTTGATGCGGACCAAACTTGTTGTTCTCGCCTCCAAACAGCGTACATGCCAGGCAAAACCCAGCGTTCACACTGCTGGAAAAGGCTAGCCAGGGGTAACGTTAATTATCCAGCCAGTCGCGGCGGAACTTGAGGTTCTTGCCACTTTCCTCGCCAGGAAGCCCTACATCCTACATGGTGTATACTGGTGCTGCAGTAGCTCGAATTTCTTCTTTGAAGCTAGGGTAACTGGCAGCTTCACAGCCATGAACCCTGCGAGCCGGCCACCGTCCCTGCAGTTCTCCCCGTTTCTGGATACTAGTGCATTTCGACATGCGCCGGCCAACCGGGTGTGGATCCCTGACTGCAAAGCACCCACTCTGGCTACTCGCCTGCTTACCGTAACTTTATAGTCCAGCGAATCTCTACCCTTAGTGTGCAATGTTGTAGTCATCTCAGCCAAGACAACATGTTCACCAGACTTCGGGACTGACTCTTTCTGTAGCACAGCATAGGAAATCTTTTGACGTCATTTTAGCAAAAAGAAAAGAAGAAAAATCACGGTTTGCGTGAGACTCGGCCAAAGGCCCAGTTTTCCGCATCCGCAGGAACGCCATCACCCTCTTGGATCAAGGCAAGATCATTTTAGCAAAAGTGAATAATATTTGTATTGTATCCAGTAACACTCCCCAAAATGTCTTTGCACAATCAAAGTGACCACAACTTTTGGTGTGTGTACATGTGTGTACGTATGTGTGTTTGTTTGTGTGTGTATGTGTGTGTGTGTATGTGTGTGTGTGTATGTGTGTGTGTGTGTATGTGTGTGTGTTTGTGTGTGTATGTGTGTGTGTGTATGTGTGTGTGTGTGTGTGTGTGTGTGTGTATGTGTGCATGTTTCCGTATGTGTGTACATGTATGCGTGTGTGTGTGTGCACATGTTGATGCGTGCACATCACCTCGCGTTGCAGGTCGTCTTCTACTTCAACACCCACTACGCCAAAGAGGAGGTCAAAGCCAGCATACAGGCTCTTCCGGAAGTGGCCAAGGGCCTCACCAACACCGGGGAAGCCCTCACGCTGGCCAAGACACGTGTTCTACTGGCAGAGAAAGGCAGTCGTATCTTTGACGTGACACCGCACACGCCACAGGTGATCATCCTGCTCAGTGACGGCCAGTCGAACATCGGACCGGTGCCTGAAGGACGTGCTGATGATCTGAAGTCGCTCGGAGCCAGGATCATCTCCATTGGTAAGTGCAATTTCTTACGTGGGCGCTGGCCGGTGGAATGCACTGCCACCTGCTTACCGCCTTTCTAATTCACCTGCTGAATTTCAATCATCCATCAAGACTTTCTTAGGGTTCCCTCTAAAAAGGCGATGACTCCTGTTGGGAATTCCCTAGTAAAATAAGAATAAAAATAAAAATAAGAAACGTATTACGGGGAAATGTTCCCCAGCTTTTAGCAAGGCATTCTGGCACTGTTGGGACCTTGTTAGAGAATACAAGTGGACTAAATGTATTGGACCAGGAGGGAAGATTGTTGCAGGATTGCTTAGCGATAGTGCGTAGGCCGAGTAAAGCACGACCTGCCTTGGAACGGGCAATTTAGTCGTTTTTGCCATTAAACCACTGCTGTTTACAGCTGTGTTCTGATACGCAGCATGCAGAGTCTGGGTTGCCAGGAAATGCTCTCACTGAAACCCTGTCTATGGCGCTGAAGGATCGTGTGTGTGTGTGTGTGTGTGTGTGTGTACATGCATGCGTGCGTGCGTGCGTGCGTGAGCAGCAAGCGGGAAAACAGTGGATCACATGAAAGTCGTCCTTGACAGTTGACAGCCCGGAGCCGAAAAGAAATTTGCTGTCCATGCCGCAGCCTCCAGTTTCTTGAATGCCGATGACCTGGAATGAGCATGACACAAGGAGGAACGGATGTGATCTTTTTTCGCCACATCTGTTGTGTAGACAACGTGTCTGAGGTCCTTGCTACTGGTGTGTGTGTGTGTGTGTGTGTGTGTGCGCGTGCGTGCGTGCGTGCGTGCGTGCGTGTGTGTCTGAGGTCCTTGCTTCTGCGTGTGTATGACTTGTTCAACCCTCCAATGTTTGTTTGCATGCAGGTATCAATGTTGGTGGCGGTGCTGTGAGCGAGCTGAACGCCATTGCCTCAGACCCGGACTCTGAACATGTGTTCTTCATCAGCAACTTTGCCGAGCTGAGGGACATCCTCGGTAACATCACCGCACTGGCTTGCAATGGTGAGTTTTGGCCAGCATCATTCCAGGCCGGGAGTGAAGTATTCCGGTTCAGGAATAGAACTCATTGGTGTCTACTGCGATGCGAATACCATTCCGTTTCTGGTTATGGCAGTCAATTGGCGTTTCTTTTAACTCCCTCAATGATTTAAAAAAAAGAAAGAGAAGAAAGCACATGAGAACGAATTATGCAGCAAATATCCAAGACTGTAACAAGATGATAAACAGTCAGAAAGTGCGATAATAGTCGTTAATTTTCATACATTTATTACTGGCGCTGTATCCGAGTTAACCCTTTGCGTGCTGAGTACGAGTTAACTCGCACTTTATGCATGGCCTGATCCACTACGTACGAGTTAACTCGCAAAAGATTCGCGCGATATATCGCAGTGCATAGACCAGTGTACAAACTTTCGTAACTTCGTCTAACATAAACGCATCGCGACAATCAATATACCGTTTGAAAGGTCTGACCTCATCTTTCCAGGGATATAAAGTTCTTCACGATAGGATAAGAATTCATTGAGCGGCGACAAGATGAACACGAAAATCACGGCCCAGAGTGAACGCGATTTTGTTTGTTCATGACTTTTTTTGTTGAGGAGGGTGCCAGGGGATTTCCCTTTGGCACGGCGCATGCGTGATGGACATCAAATGAAGCGCTTGGATCTGAGCTTTGCAGCGCAGTTTGAATTGTGAAAATCTATTGAATTTGGGCAAGATGCCGAACAAGATTATGAAGTTGAGTTGTTGTGCCGTTCCAAGGCACGGTGGAGTAGTTTGGAGAGGACGTGCAAGTGGCCCTGATGTGTCTATGGAGCTGAGAGCTGCCAGGATGGATTCGCTTGGTCCTGATCTTTCCAAGGAGCCCAGGTCGATGAAAATCCATCAAGGTGAAGTGAAATGAGAATAATATTCGTTCGGAGCTGTGAGTGCATACTCCACCAAGAGAGTCAGTGCGCTGGAAAGCCAGTGGATTGGAGAAAAGGGGCTCAGCATGCAAAGGGTTAATTTCCCTCAATGATATAACAAGTATGTGCTCTGTGTACCTACCTGTCTTGCCTGCAGCCAATGCAACTCTGACCCGCCCTCCCACCTGGGGTGCGTGGACAAGCTGGGCGGAGTGCAGCGTGAGCTGCGGCGGTGGAACACGCTCCCGCTCCCGTACCTGCATCTCGCCCACGCCGGGCGTGAACGTCACCAACGCCAACTGCACGGGCGACGCATCCGAGTCCGAGGCCTGCTCTACGGATGTGTGTCCGTCCAAAGGTGAGCACTGTCTCGGTCTACGTGTAGGTGGCCATGATGTCGATACCCTAGGTCGGTGGAGCTCCCACAGCCTCACCATCACTGCCATGATTCAGGTTGTGCGTGCTTCCCCTAGCTGCATCTCATGTTTGGCCTTTAAGTGGTCTTCTCAAAAACGAAATAGTGGTTGAGGTCAACTTATGAGGGGTGAATTCCCCGAAACACTATGTATTCAGCAGGGAGTGGTGCTTTCTTGCAGGTTTGCTGAGTCGAAGGTTCGATGGACTTCTCGTGTGCTCTGTATGGCAGTCGTGAGTCACTCAATTGTCATTTAAAGTCAGCGGAATAGCACGAGCTCCAGTATGGGGAGCAAACTCTTTCTTTGTAAAAAAGAAAATAAAAAGAAATAAAAACATGTGTTCGTGTACAATAGTGTTGCTCAATGAAATCCGGTCGAGTCATTCAAGTTTGCGTCCCGAGCCAGTCCACCATTCCAGCGTTGGCATGTCTAGGGCCACACAGTGCCCGGCACGGAAGTCACTCCCTTGATCGGATTTAAGCATTCTTGTCCTACAGCACTGTTCGGTGTTGCTGTTCCACATGCATGGCTATTAGTAACTGCCTTATATGCACTATTTACCCTTGTAACACCGAGTGTAACACCGAGTGTAACACCGAGTGTATCTTTTGGAAACTATCCTGCTATCACATAGCTCAACATCATCTAATCAGTATCCCCTTGCTTGAATCTATCCGGCACGAGCGAACCTGTGGGTGGACCTAATGGATCCACCGACTTGAACGCGGCAGTGCTTAATAATAAAAATAATAGTCATCTTGTCCGACAGTGCTGCTCTGTGAAGTTCAGTCGAGTCGCTCCGGTACGCGCCGGACGTTGCACAGCCCTAAACCGTGAAACACGGGTGGTTGCAGTCGCAGCTGTGGTGGTGACACTGATCCTGCTTTACTTTCCCTCTCCCTAGCTGTTGCATGAACAGAATGCCAGAACAAAGTGGACATTGTGCTTTTGGCAGATCGCCGATTGGCGTCATGCAAGCCTCATTCTATCCACCTCCCCCCCCCCCCCCCCCTCTCTCTCTCTTTCTTTCACAACCTTGTCTCTCTCTCTCTCTCTTCCACAACCTTGTCTCTCTCTCTCTCTCTCTCTCTCTCTCTCTCTCTAAAACTGTTCTCCTTTAGTTTCCTTTCCCACTGTGCCACATAAACAGAATGCCAGGACAAAGTGGACATTGTGGTTCTCCCTCTTTTTCTTCTTTTGCTTTCCTCTTTCCCACATGAACAGAATGCCAGAACAAGGTGGACATTGTGTTTCTGCTGGAAGCGTCGCGCTACGTGACCCAGGCCGAGTTTCAGGCGCAGATCAACTTCACGGCGACGGTCGTCTCCTTCTTCGGCGTGCTGCCGTCGCAGGCCAAGGTTTCCGTTGTCAAATACGGATCCTCGCCCACGGTGGAGTTTGACTTTGAGCAGCACACCACGGACAACCGTGCACGCAACGCCATCCTGGCACTGTCGCCCTACACGGGCTACCAGCGTAACATGGCGGCGGCGTTCAGGCAGACCCGTCGGCAACTGATCCGCCTCGAGGCCGGCGCCAGGTTGAACACTACGGGAGTAGCGCAGGTCAGTCGTACACTGTACACTTTGTAAGTGGTGATTGTCGCAGCATTGTCTCTCTCTGAACTGTCTCTCTCCGAACTGTCTCTCTCCGAACTGTCTCTTTCTATCCTTCATTTTGTGGTACTGTGCATGATTGCAGGCTTAACACAACAGTACGATTTCCTTGGCTTGCTATAATCATTCTCAGCCTGTACGGATGGTTTGGTCTGTGTAATTACACCTTTATCCTAAAAGAGGATGTAGACTTCCACAGCCCGTGAAGCAAAATCACAAGTCGCCCGGCACTGCACATATGTACATGTACATGCAGGCGATTTTCGTCGTCCAGCGTAGCTAGTTGTGTTAGTTTCAGAGAGTGGGGGGGGGGGGGGTGAGTACGAAAAAAACAATGTTCGTTTCAGGGACGACGAAAAACTCTTGTGATGACCCCTAAGCTACATGACTTTGTGTGGATATCAATTTTTACAGGGTGCAGTGAACATAGCAGTAAAACTATGGCGATATGTTCCGTTCTGGTCATGCTTCTGGTGAAGAAGTTACATTGAAACATGTAACTACCGACCACCCCTTGGGGCCAGAGCAAGCGGTCTTTAGTGGCAGGTGGTCCTTAGTTGGAGGTTTGCACCGCACAACCATAATATGAATGTGAGACCGTCCGTGCCTGGCGGAGTGGTCTGTAGTACCAGGATCGTCGCTAGTCACGGTGGTCTTCAGTTACAGGTTTTACTGTAGTACCAGGCTGGTCGCTAGTCACGGTGGTCTTTAGTTACAGGTTTTACTGTAGTACCAGGCTGGTCGCTAGTCACGGTGGTCTTCAGTTACAGGTTTTACTGTAGTACCAGGCTGGTCGCTAGTCACGGTGGTCTTTAGTTACAGGTTTTACTGTAGTACCAGGCTGGTCGCTAGTCACGGTGGTCTTTAGCTACAGGTTTTACTGTAGTACCAGACTGGTCGCTAGTCACGGTGGTCTTTAGCTACAGGTTTTACTGTAGTACCAGACTGGTCGCTAGTCACGGTGCTCTATAGTTACAGGTTTTACTGTAGTACCAGACTGGTCGCTAGTCACGGTGCTCTATAGTTACAGGTTTTACTGTAGTACCAGGCTGGTCGCTAGTCACGGTGGTCTTTAGCTACAGGTTTTACTGTAGTACCAGACTGGTCGCTAGTCACGGTGGTCTTTAGCTACAGGTTTTACTGTAGTACCAGACTGGTCGCTAGTCACGGTGGTCTTTAGTTACAGG